TGATAAATGCATGAACTAGTTTTTCAGCATCACTCCTGGAAAGGATGCTTCTAATCTTAGCAATATTCCGAAGGTGGAAAAAGGAAATCCCACAAACCTGTTTAACCTGGGATTTGAATGACATGTCCTGGTCAAAGATAACACCAAGGTTCCTTACTTTGTTCTCGGAGATTAATGTAATGCCAGTCAGGTCAGGTGATTGACTAAGCAATTTCTTTTTCTGGATTTCTGGTCCAAAGATGAGAACTTCCGTCTTGTCTTGATTTAAAAGCAAAATGTTTAGAGTCATCCAACTTTTTATGTCCTCAAGACAAGCCTGTAATCTACCCAACCGATTAGGTTCATCAGGGTTAATGGATAAATATAACTGAGTATCGTCAGCATAACAGTGGAAGTTTATCCCATGCTGTCTAATGATTTTACCAATTAAGAGCATATACATAGTAAAAAGAATTGGTCCAAGCACTGAACCCTGTGGTACTCCACAAGTAACCCTGGAGTATGAAGAAGATTTGTCATGTACATTTACAAAATGAAATCTGTCAGACAGGTAGGATTTAAACCAGCCTAGCGCTGTTCCTTTGATCCCTACAACATGTTCAAGTCTTTCTAAAAGAACATTGTGATTAACTGTGTCAAAGGCAGCACTGAGATCTAACAAGACTAGAACAGACACAAGATTCTTATCTGAGGCCATGAGAATATCATTTGTAACTCTCACTAATGCAGTTTCAGTGCTGTGATACTCTCTAAAACCAGACTGAAATTCCTCAAACAGATCTGCATTTAAACATGTTTAAATGCTCACATACTTGGATGGCCACTATTTTCTCCAGGACTTTGGATAAAAATAATGTGCTTGGACACCGAGCTCAGTACAAAGACAGCCTCTTTAGCAATGACCTTTTATGTCTTGCCCTCCTTTTGCAAGGTGTCAACGGTCGTCTTTTTGGACAACTGTAAACTGTGATTTAGACTTCTCCGTCTGCGTCGGGACAGACACACGCAACGCCATTATGCATCGACGCAAGAGCCCTCTGATGGGGTTGCGTTGGAAGACGAAGACATGCCTCAAATTTTAGCTATCCGTCGAAAGAGACTATGATCGCAAGCTTGTGATTGGTCAGGGCGCAGCTTCCTGTTTTCATTGGTCAACGTCTTTGCTGCTTAAAAAATAAAGAGATATTTAGTGTCAGACATGGAACAGATTGAACAACGCATCCTGGAAAAATTCTGAAAATATGAACATTTATTCACCTGTGACTGAAGGAGTACAAAGATATGCAGCTAGCGTTTTATTCGTGGACGAAAAAGACGAGAAACGTGGGTTTAGATGTGCCGATCGCATCAAAAGGTAGAGAGGAATGAGGGTCAAATTTGTTCAAAAGTCTCTGACATTTATTAAAACTATGTAAACACAAAAGTAAATACACTATCGTGGACCGGATATGTGACTGTATGGTGGCAGGATACCTCAGAATAGTGCTACTACTTCTGTTGTCGGGAATTGTTTTGTATCAGTTTCCAGCAGACGGAGAAGTCTGATAGTGGTGGAAAATTTTGGACATTTTATATTTAAAAGCATCAGTTTGGTGCATTTTGAGCAAAATAATAGTTACAGGCTTTTAAATATGATGATAAATTATCTATACATGTTCACGGCATTATAATATTATATTTGATTGATTATATATCCTGTCCTGTCTTTAATCCATTTTGAAGACTGACTACAGCGAAATCCTCTGATGCATCCATGCTGCTCAGGACTAGAACTGTACTGATGTCACTAGTTACTAAAGAACCAATCAGCTGGCAGAGCTTGCTGTTGAACATGTGAGCGTACAGAACTTGCAAAACTACGTGACTCAATTTAAGGAACGAAGTGGAATCCAGCTGCTGTTATTTATTTATTTGTTGTTGTTTATAGAAACTAAATATATCTGCAAGGCTTTTAGCCCTAGAATTTAGGAGTGACACTGCTTTTGATCCTCTCTGAATATTCAAATTGGTGCAAGTTTAAGAAATAAAAATACAGAATTTTTGGTTAACAGTCTTATTTTATATGCAAAATATTATATACGTAAATGTCAAAACGCCAAATCTCCCCCCTCAGCGAAGGAGTACAAAATACAAAGCAAACGTGGACGTAAACAACAGGAAACGTGGGTTTAGAGTTGGCGACCGCATGAAGAGGTGGAGGAGAATGAAGCACAAATCTTTCAACGCAATAGAACGTAGAAAAGAGCGTGAGAACGAAACAAGTCGAAGACACCCAAGAGCAGGGAAACAAGAAGCAGAAAGTTCAATAAAGAAATCAGCCGTAACAGATCACTGCACAAGAGAAAACCATATCGTGAACTGGGACAGAACAAGGAACACAAACACCGAACAACTAAAATACAAAAGATTGATTTAGGAACCTAAGAAATAAGGAGACTTGGACACACAACCATGAATAGAGATGATGAGGTCTACACATTGATCACACGTGGGACTGTCATCGGCAAGGGGAGCGCGGGCTCTGCTGCCCGCGGATAAACGGAGAAGGAAGTGAGTGACGCCGTCAACAGCAACGAAGCTCTAAGGAAGCCTACAGTGTTAGTCGAAATGTCACCTTATAAAAGAGCCAAGTAATGCAGTGCTCAGAATGAACGTACAAAAGATGTTTAAAGGACCGGAGCAGAACAGTCCCCTGCATCACGGTGAGTCAGAAGGTTTTTAGAGACCCTAAGAGGAGCTGTTCCTGTGGAGTGAGCTCTGCGAAAACCTGACTGGAAACTATCAGAATTATCGTGATGGAGCCAGAAGCACAGGAGAACTTCAGAGATCCTAAGATGTGCATCTCAGTTCAGCACAGACCTAAACGGTTGTTCAGTCCAACAACCTGAACACCACAGCCTGCCTGGCCTCAGAATGCACAACTGGTAAAAAGTTAAACTGGTGTGTTTTAACTCTACTGGAAGCGCTGGCTGAAATAATCTTTAAACCCAAACATCTAACCCGATGTCAGATTATAAATAATGAACAGAGCCAAAACACAGCTGTGTGACATGTTCAGAGAAGTAAGCACTGCAATGATGCCCCATCACATGCCCATAGCTACTGTTGCCCTCTTTATTCTTGAACAGTTCTGCTTGTGTTTGAATCAGATCTTTATTTTTTAAGTGTTCAGCATATTTATTAACTTTATTCATTATCACAACCCCCCCCCCCCCCCCCCCCCCAGTTGGCTGACAATGATGAACACAGTATGCATTCGATACATTAAAGCCGGGCATACACTGTGCGACTTTTTCCCTTTTTTGAGCCGATTTTCCAGTCGTGCGAGAATCCACGAGATCGGGGCGAGTTTTGAGCCGAGCGGTCGTGTAGTGTACAGGTGGTTACGAGAGGCGATTAACACCACGTGACCAGCCACCGATCAGCAGTCGTGAGGTCGCACGGACTTCTGGTGTGTTTAATATTTCGCTCGTCCCTCGTGAGGGTGTCGCACTGTTGAAGCAGCTACGATCCAAAAATGTATCAGAACCGCTCACGGCGCATGCGTGCGCAATCCTGCATCAACGCCGGTCGCTCGCTATTTCCCTAATAACACACGCTGTTCGTTTTTGTTTCTACACGTTTTTTTTACTCACAAAGATTGTCAAGAAAGCGTGTTTGTCGTGTTCATGTCAAATTAAACTGATCACAAAACACAGATTCACTTTCTTTATTTCGTTTTCCTCATCCAACCCCCATAAATCCCTGTGTGTCCTCCTGCAGCACTCCCGAAGGACAACAGGCAAAACAAGACAAAAAAGTCTGACGTGTTGAGTAAAAACTGCTATTTTTAGCATATTTTTAGGGCCGATGTGTTGCTACCAGACGTACAGTGTGAGCAGTCAGGTCGCATGCGAGAACTGGGTCATGCAGTGTGAGCGCATGACTCGTGAGATCTGCTCTGCGAGGAAGCTGTACAGTTTGAGCTGAAGCTGAATGCTGCGAGTGAAAAAGTCGCACAGTGTACGCCCGGCTTAAAGGGACACAACAGTAAAAGTCTATCCTTCAGACACTCTTGTAGATGGACAACAAGAAAAGGTCAAGAAAGGCCTCCACGTAGTAAGAAACCTTTGGTCTGAGCCCCTCAGTGTTTATCTCATTTTCTCAAGTTTAAGGTGGACTAGCGCATCTCGAATCCAGTGTTAAACGGTGGGTGGAGCAGCATCCTTCCACTTTAAAAGTATTAGGCCAGTAGTGTGGAAAAAACAATAATCCTCCGGCCTCCTGGAGGCAGGATCAAATCTTCAGTGTTAACCCCAGATAAAAGTATAAGTGGACATGGCTTTATTCCCATTCCTAAATCACAAGTGATTGCTTTACAAACATCCTCCCAGAAACTGTATTTTAGGACAGAACCAAAACATGAGTTAAGGTGGCCTCTGACAATTTACATCTGCCACAAGTGGGATCAAGTTGTAAATACAGTTTAGCTAATGTGGCTTTGGAAAGATGTGCACAGTGAACTATTTTAAATTGTATGAGACGATGTCTGGCACTAATTGAGGATGAATTAATATTCATAATAATATTGCCCCAGTCTGTATCATTTATAGTAACTTGAAGATCTTGTTCCCAAGATGCTTTAATGGCCTGTATGGAAGGAGGTATATATGAAAACAAAACGAGCATTTTATTGATAGATTTCTTTTGGTTCAGATTGAAAGTGAGAGCAGGATCCATTATGCTTTTAGGAGGCCTATTTGGGAACCCTGGGATGGGAGTAGCAGTAAAGTGACACACCTGTAAATATCTAAAAAACTGTGAAGTGGACAGATTATATTTATTAGATAATTGTTGAAAAGAAGCAAACTGGTCATCAACAAAAAAATCATTAAAAAAGGCCAGTTCTTCTCTAGGCCGTTTCTGAAATGCTGCATCTAACAGTGAAGGAGCAAGAGAGTAATTAGATGCTATAGGGATTGATGAGCTTATCTCCACAGATCTTTGTTTTTTTATTCCAGAAAAGGCATTTTCATCCCTGAGGAGATGTCTGACTTGGAGCAGCTGTTATGGCGGATGTCCCAGGGTGAGGGTCTGATGGCATCATCCCAGCCGGTGCCTCAGTACTGCTCTTCTCTTGGTCTTGACCTCCACAGCATCTTCATTACGTTCTTTCTGGAACGTAAACTTCAGTATCTGCTGTATACCTATCTGGAGCACTACAAGTGTGTGACTGTGTTAAATGTACACATTCTTGCTGCGGTGGTTGTGTTGTAAAATATGGGTTCTCCTCTCTACAGATTGACACCCAGAAACTGTCCTCTTCTTACTGATCAGAACCTGTTAGAGGGTCAGCCCTGGTTTGAGATGCTGGTGAAGATCCAGGAGATAACCAGAGATCGCTCAGGTACTCATCAGGGGCCTCATTTATCAAGCTTGCTTACGCACAAAACGGGGTTGGAAAACTGTGTCAGCAACTTTCCACTCAAACTTTGGGATTCATGAAAGAAAATTTAGAAAAATGTGCGCAACTTTAAGTTGACTAAGGACCTGACTTACGCACATGTTGGACATGGAGAGCACCTGCAGTGCTGCTGCTGAGAAGATAAAATTATGAAATCCTGCAGCATTATCACTTGTACCTCTTCGTTTCCACACAGAATAAGACTCCCCACATGCACACACACGCGAGCACGCACACACACACACACACACACACGCACACTCACACACACGTGCACACATACACACACACATGTGCGCACACTCACACATACACTCACATGCACACACACACACATGCGCACACACATACACACACACATGTGCGCACGCACACACACACACACACACACACACACACACACACACACACACACACACACACACACACACACACACACACACACACACACACACACACACACACACACAGCCTGAAGCCAGAATACGGAATGCAGAATATCAGCAGGGGGACAGATTGAGACAGAATGTCATGCGTCTGTGACAGCGTGTGTGTGTCCTGTCACTGTGTCCCGATTGATGATGCACCCTGGCTGCTTGGACAGGAGAGATCTCCGTTTGGCTGACTGTTTAGCTTGCGACTTTCACCCAGGAGTCTGGGGATCGAATCCTGATCGGATCATTTTTTTAAAATCTGCCACAGATCTCTCTGAAGAACTCAGCATTGACGTCTTTCAGCAATGCTGTGCCACTCCGGATTTTCTCTTATTTGTTTTGCAAAAGCACTTCCTTTCATTTCTCCATCTCACCCACAAGTACCTCAATTTATGCTCATGAAAAAGCGCTTCCTTGATCTGCGGTCGTGATCGAAATGCTGCAAGCCGGCTTATGTATATGCATGAGATCCACGAGGCACTTTGCATCGACCATTTATGGCAGTAAGTGGGCGTGGTGAGGGTGGGATGTGACTAAAATGCAGCTGAGAAACATTCTCGTTAGTCTCTGATTTATGAAGCGGAGATTGCGTGCAGCTGTGCGTACTCCATGTTTAATAGATCACAAACCTACTTGGCGCAAGTACTTATTTTTTGCGAGCTTAAGTACGGTTTTAGTAAGGATTCTACGCAATGTTTGATAAATGAGACCCCTGCTCTTTGGACATGAATGGAACATTTCTTCACACACAGCAATGAAGCAACAATAACATCAACCTGATTTAATCCTGTTCCACATACTGGTTTTTGCTGAAGTTTGATATTAGAAGTGTTTGGTTACCATGGTAGCCATGGTTCTTTGAAAACAGGGTGAGGTATTTCACTATGGGAATCCCTTTCAGGTTAGCCTGACAAGCTATACTGTATAGAAAATATATAGTCTGGCTCCGACCCAGAGACAGTCGTGAAGTGGTTGTCTATCAGACTTCTCTACACAATTGGACAGCGCTAGGACCAAGTGTGACGTATTCATCACTACAAAATCAGTCAACAGCACAGTCCACCCTACGGAGTAGAAATGGTAAACGACCTGTATTTGTGTAGCATCTTCTTGGGGTTCTACAACCCCCCAAGGTGCTTCACAACACAATCAGTCATTCACACTGATGGTGATGAGCTACATTGCAGCCAAGCCAGCCTTGGGACAAAACCGAGGCTGCCGTTCACAGGCACCACCAGCCCTTCTGACATCCACCAGCAAACCAGGATGATGAAGTGTCTTGCCCAAGGACACAACGACTGAGAGACACGGAGTGGGAAATGAACCTACAAATCTCTGGTTGGGTGGCCACCTAACTCTTATGCCACCATTGTTACTAACTGGTGATCTGGTTTCAGATCCAGGACTGGTGTTCCAGGCCAGTCTGACTGGTGCCCAGGTGCTGTTACCTGGTGGCCAGGCTTCTCTCAGTAGTCTGCTGTTAGAGGGACACAGTCTGCTGGCTCTGGCTGCAGCTATGTTTGCTCCAGGTGGAATTGATCAGGTAAACACTGCTCTTATAAGATTACAGATTACTTGTTTTATTAATATTGATGATAGTTGTTGTTGGTATAAATTAACCAGTTAAAAACAGTCACTATAATGACAGTAAACCAATGCTTATATGCCTTGGCCAAGGGGCGTCTTTTAGTTTTTTCCCTGCTCCAACACACCTGATTTCAATCAGCTGGTGATTATCAGGCTTCTGCAGAGCTTGACCTTTTGAACAGGTGGTTCAACCACTGAATCAGGAGTGTTGGAGCAGAGAAGCAACTATTCCGTAGACCGGTGTCGGTACAAGATGTGCTCGGGTGCAAAATCGGCTCGGGGTCCTTCGACTGCCGATCACGTCAAAGTACGGCAAACCCACTCGGACAAAATACCCTACACATCTATACTGTTGGAAAGAATTTAGCAGTTTCGTTATTAAAATAATGTTTCTTAAGACGTAAGTTTGTGTTTATAATGGTGTTTGTAAAATAAAACACTATATTGTATTCATAATGTTGAACTTCTCTTTGAGCACATCCCTTGAAGGATCATAGGTATTAGCAACACCTGTGAAATTGTATTTGCAGGAAAGAAGTGTGTCCCGTTTATTGAAGTATTTTGTGTTTAGTTTTTGACGTCTTGTCCATGCGTAGTTCAGGTACGCTCAAAGCTGCTAGACAAAACTCTGGAGTTAAAAGTTTTCTGGCTTTACTAAAATACCTGTCTGTACTTATTTGATTGATGGTAGTTTACTTTCTATTAGACTCCAAATGTAATCATTTGGCACGTTTCTAATTCATAATTTGTAATAATGTAATCGGTGATATTAGCATTAGCATTCCTATGGGTTTTTCCACGTATATTAGCATTGCGCTAACCACTCGCTGCCAAATTGCAGCCTTTGCGATTAGAAAATCTCCTTTTGTCACATCGCAATTTAATTGCACATGCAGTTAATCGTTCAGCCCTAATATACATGCAGCTCTATGCTAAAAGTGTATTTTCAAAGAGGTAATGATGGATTTCTTTGTAAAAGTTGTCCATCTTTCCGACAGAAAGATTTGCCTGGACCAACGTAACGTGATAACAACGTAATGTGATTACGTAATTCCGTAAGGTTCATGTTCAGCCAATCAACTACTTTAACGTCATCGGCAGTCGACGGACCCCGAGCCGATTTTGCACTCGAGCAGGTCTTGTACCGACACCGGCCCTCCAAGGCCAGGATTGGGCAGCTCTGCTCGGGCCTAACAACTGATCAGCCACTTATCAGATCTGATTCTGGTCATGTTTGATCACTCAGTTCAGTCCAAGCTTCGTGAGTCAGATGGTCCCGTAAGCCTCTAGAACACTTTAGTATCCAGAGAACTTTATGGTGGACCCAGTAGGTGTGTTTCCATTACCAGAACTTCAAGGTAAACTCATCGGAATCTCCCGCCGTGTGTGTCGCTACCGAACAGCAGTTTTCAGGAACCTTCTGAGTACCCGTTCAGAGGTAGGTACTCTGAGTGGCCCAGTGGGAGGCCCAGTGCAGGTGGTGGGTGGGAACGCCGTCAGTTGTTTGTAACTCAGTCGGAAAAGACGTCGGCATAGGAAATGTGTGTGTGTCTGCTCTGTCTTCTTGATCCCCAGTGAGTCGTGGTGGATGGCTGCTTATACTGAGCCAGGATCCTCTGGAGGTTTATTCCTGTTAAAAGGGAGTTTTCCTCTCCACTGTCGCTGCATGCTTGCTTAGTATGAATAAACTTGAATTGAATTGAATTGAATTGAAATAGGAAATGCATACGGGGTGGGCATTTTTGAAAACACGAGTTGTTGGCACATTCTGTGCCTGTCGATGACATCAACGCAGCGGCCGCGATGTGCTGGCGTCCTAGCACATTCCTTACAGGGCCAAACTGTAAATGGACACACAACAGCTAAGAGGACTGGGCCTTCGGACCTCCCTGTCAAATTCCCCCTCGCTGCATTCACCCTGAAGTTCCAGGAAAGGAAACACACCTATTGACTTCAGAGCCTACAGCTCCTGTTGAGCAAACCCAAACCATCAGTCCTCCTCCACTGTGCTGAGAGCTGTGGTCAGCATTCTGCATGGAGCTGTGCTTAATGATCAGACCTCTGGCCCAAAGAACGTTGTTGTGGCTCGTTCAGACAAAACTTTATAACCCCAAGTTGTGCTGTCATGTTTGAAGAGAGAAGATGCTTTAAGAGCTTTTGTTTTAAAATGACCTTTATAATCGATCCATGATGAATAGCTGCTAGAACAACTCCTCTCAGACTCTAGAAGATGTGTTCCGTGCAGGTGGTAGCTCAGGGGCAAAGGTCATGCACTAAGGACAGGAGAGTCGACCCTCAGCTTTTGAAGATGGCCCTGGCTTCTCATCCCAAACTGAGAGCAGCCCTGTTTCCTGCTGGATCTTGCGGGAATGACATCTCCATTTATCACCTTCTTCAGGTATTCATTACCAGGTTATTTCTAAAGCGCTGGACAGAAAGAAGCCTTTTGCAGTGGACGATGTCATGTTTCTGCTCGTAGCAAAAGCTTGAGCTAATGGACACATGGTCTGTTTGTATCCATGTTTACTAACCTGCTTGACCAATACATAATTTATCACTTTGATGTGTTTTTTAGTGTCTTCATCCTCTAGATCCGTCCAGGCTGTTTGGCTGGCAGCTGTCTAACACTCTAAATTCAGTCGGTAAGATGAAACACTTCTTATAGAACTACATTAGAGGTGTTTGATCTCTTCAACACAACTCTTAGCTGAATGATGCTTTTATAGATGGTAAATTTGGATTTACTCATGGCAGGGAAGGTGTGTGGTTGATGCTGTTGCTATGGTAACACCTCTGAAACAAGGATGCTGTTTGATATTAAGTGATTGAGGAACTTTTTCACAGAAACATCAGAGCTGCCTCATTTCTCCTGCCCCCATCTGGTCAGCAAGTTTGCTCTGGTGGAGAACCTGGACTTCCTTTACTACATCCAACATGGGCGGCCATCTTTTGCATATGGCAACTTCCTGGTCCAGCAGCTGAGGGCCTGCAGTGATGTGAAACTGCTGTGAGTATGACATGCAGTACTGCTTCTCTTTCATCTCAAGATAGTAAATGAGGTCACGGGGGCAGTGGACATTTTTCTGCCATGCAGAATTAGATGTGTGTGTGTATGTTTGTGTTTGTTTCAGGCTGAAACAGGCCTGGCAGCAGGTGTACAAGTTGGTTCTGAAATATTTCAATGTGCCATCGGTGACATCAGCTGCTGTTTGTTTCTGTGAGCTGCTGGGAATCTGCAGCCTGAAGCTGAGAGTTGACACCCGAGCCTTGAACACAATCCTACAACACTGGAATCAGCAGGACACGCACAATCCAGTCCAGCACCTAAGAACTCTGGGTGAGCACACCTAAAACTACGGCATAGAGTCAAAAGACTCATCAGCTCACACACTAAGCCCCCTCTGTGCTGTTCTATTTATCAAGCTGTAAAGATGGTGGAGGCGGAGTCTGGAGCAGCAGAAGAGCTGATTGGATACCTGGAAGCTGCAGTGAAAGAAAGTTTGGAGCTGAGAGGAATTTACAGGTACACTCTTTCTCACACACACACACACACACACACACACACACACACACACACACACACACACACACACACACACACACACACACACACACACACACACACACACACACACACACACACACGTACTCTCCAATACATAGTACTGATACGAGTAATAATTAATGTCATAATCTTCCGTAGAATTAAATTGTTTTAAAAAACACAATTTAACTCCACGTCCATCAACCTGCCACTTAGGAAGTAACACTGATCAGTTCCCCATGTTGTTGTGTAGATGGAATAGACAACAGGTAGAGATTATAGGCAAATAGCTAGACATCCCCAATAAAGGAGTGGTTCTGCAGGAGGTGACCACAGACCACTTCTCAGTTCCTGCTTTCTGGCTGATGTTTTGGTCACTTTTGAATGCTGGCGGTGCTTTCACACTAGTGGTAGCATGAGACGGGGTCTACAACCCACACAAGTGGCTCAGGTGGTGCAGCTCATTCAGGAAGGCATATCAGTGCAAGCTGTAGCAAGAAGGTTTGCTGTGTCTGTCAGTGCAGTGTCCAGAGCAAGGAGGTGCTATCAGGAGACAGGCCAGTACATCAGGAGATGTGGAGGAGGCTGTAGGAGGGCAACAACCCAGCAGCAGGACCGCTACCTCCACCTTTGTGCGAGGAGCAACAGTAGGAGCACTGTCAGTGCCCTGCCATAAATGTGTATGTGTCTGCTTAAATGGTCAGAAACAGACTTCATGAGAGTGGTATGAGGGCCCGACGTCCACATGTGGACACCTTGAAGGACGTTTTTCATTTGCCAGAGAACATCAAGATTGGAAAGTTCACCACTGGCGCCCTGTGCTCGTCACAGATGAAAGCAGGTTCACACGGAGCACATGTGACAGACATGACAGAGTCTGGAGACGCCGAAGAGAATGTTATGCTGCCTGCATCATCCTCTAGCATGACCAGTTTGGCAGTGGGTCAGCAATGGTATAGGGTGGCATTTCTTTGGGGGCTCCACCGCCCTCCATGTGCTTGCCAGAGGTAGCTGGCTGCCATTGGGTGCCAAGATGAGATCCTCAGACCTTTGTGAGACCACATGCTGGTGCGGTTGGCCTGGGTTCCCCCTAATGAAAGACAATGCTGGACCTCATGTGGCTGGAGTGTGTCAGTAGTTCCTGCAAGACAGAGGCATTGATATTATGGACTGGTCCACCTGTTCCATGGGCCTGAATCTAACTGGGATGTCGCAGATGTGCTGGGACATCATGTGTCTCTCCATGCACCAACGCCACGTTGCACCACAGTCTGTCCTGGGGTCTCATTTATCAAACATGGAGTAGAATCCTTACTAAAACCGTACTTAAGCTCAGCAAAAAAAAAGTACCTACACCAAGTAGGTTTGTGATCTATCAAACATGGAGTACGCACAGCTGCACACAATCTCCGATTCATAAATCAGAAACTATCTAGAAAGGTTCTCAGCTGCTTTTTAGTCACATCCCACCCTCACCACGCCCACTTACTGCCATAAATAGTCAATGCAAAGTGCCTTGTGGATCTCATGCATATACATAAGCCGGCTCGTTGCAGCATTTCGATCCCGACCGCAGATCAAGGAAGCACTATTTCACGAGCAGAAATTGAGGTACTTGTGGGTGAGGTGGGGAAATGAAAAGAAGTGCTTTTGCAAAACAAATAAGAGAAAATCTGCGGAGTGGCACAGCGTTGCTGAAGCCGTCAATGCTGAGTTCTTCAGAGAGATCTGTGGCGGATATAAAAAAAAGATCCGATCAGGATTCGATCCGCAGACTCCCAGGTGAAAGTCACACGTGCTAACCAGTCAGCCAAACAGAGATCTCTCCTGTCCAAGTAGCCAGGGTGCATCATCAATCAGGTCACAGTGGCAGGACACACACACGCTGTCACAGACGCATGACGTTCTGTCTCAATCTGTCCCCTTGCTGATATTCTGCATTCCGTATTCTGGCCTCAGGCTGTGTGTGTGTGTGTGTGCGTGCGCATGTGTGTGAGTGCGTGTGTGTGAGTGCGTGTGTGTGTGTGTGTGTGTGTGTGTGTGTGTGTGTGTGTGTGTGTGTGTGTGTGTGTGTGTGTGTGTGTGTGTGTGTGTGTGTGAGAGAGAGAGAGAGAGAGAGAGTGCACGTGTGTGCATGTGGGGGGGCTAGTTCCGCATGACAATGAAGCAGTACAAGTGATAATGCTGCAGGATTTCACAATTTTATCCTTCTCACCCCGGGTTTCCACGTGAGCCGCCAGCAGCACGTTACTGCAGCAGCACGTCTTGCTCGCGTAAGCTGCTGCTTGGCCCTTCCCACGAGATGCGAAGCAGCAGGGGAGCAGCTGTCACCGACAGAGCACGAAGTCACACGAGTGACTTCGTCAGTAAACACATCAACAAGCAGGAGAAAATTACAACATGGTTTATGTTCTGTCCTTTTATAATCGCCAATACGGACCTGAAAAACAAAAGAGACCGCTAGCTAGGTGATAACTTCTCACGGGGACGCACAGTTAGTAACCTTTTTTAAAAGTAAAGCAACCGGAAGGCAGTACGTTCTTTATTCTGAAAATCTCGGTAGCTTCTCTCCATTTCCGCGTCCGATTTCCTGTCTTTCCTTCCCCACAAATGTCGAACTTGACCCGTTTCAGAGGCGTCGCGCGTAGAAAATAGAACCGGCGCGTAAAGGCAGCGACATGCTGCTCCTGAGACGCGGCCGACTCGCGCTGCTGACGGCTGCCGACGGCTCTAGTGGAAAAGGTTCTGTTGATCACAGCGGTTCCTATCAGCAGCTATGACGTGCTGCTGCAGTAACGTGCTGCTGACGGCTCCTGTGGAAAGCCGGGGTCAGCAGCAGCACTGCAGGTGCTCTCCATGTCCAACATGTGTGTAAGCCAGGTCCTTAGTCAACTTAAAGTTGTGCACAGTTTTCCGCTAGGTTTTCTTTCATAAATCCCAAAGTTTGCGTGGAAAGTTGCTGACGCAGTTTGCCAACCCCTTTTTGAGCATAAGCAAGCTTGATAAATGAGGCCCCAGGAGTTGGCAGATGCTTTAGTCCAGGTCTGGGAGGAGATCCCTCAGAAGACCATCAGCCACCTCATCAGGAGCATGCCCAGGTGTTGTAGGGAAGTCATACAGGCACACAAAGGCCACACACACACCACTGAGACTCATTTAGACTTGTTTTAAGGACATTCCTTCAAAGTTGGATCAGCCTGTAGTGCTTTCCCACTTTAATTTAGAGTGGGACTCCGAGGGCTGGGATGATAATCAATAAATCAATACGTACATACAATAAGTGCGATAGATGAAAATGAACTCAGTAATTTTTCCAGCCTTGATAAATCGGCTTTTGTCAGACATGTGACCTTCATGTACACCACACCCCCTTAACGCCATTTTAGGTGTAGGACTCTCATTGCTAGGGGAAGCCGCCGCTGAAGTTGAAGCAGAACGAGAGTGAAAAGTATGGATAAAAAGAACAAGGATGAACACGTCCCTTACAGGGATAAACTTGTGGAGGAGGCTAGGGATCGGTATTTTCAGAAATTGTCTGGCTGTCAATAACGTAGATCTCTACGACCTCAAAGGAAAACAAACGAAGCTCAGATGTTTCATTACTGCTGAAAGTACATAACATGAGTAAGCTAAATAAAGGTTTAATTGTTGCATTTTAAGGGGTGAACTTACATTATGATATATTAACTAGGGCCGGGACTTTAACGCGTTCATTACGATTAATTAATTAGAAAAAAATAACGCGTCAAAAAAATTAACGCATTTAATCGCAGCTTGCATTTCAAGCACGGCAGAACCTTTGTCATTGCACGATTTCCTCGTAGACAGAATATCACTAACGCACATAACAATAAACAGTGCTAATGGCTACTAAAACGGAATAAAAACAGAAAGAAGTTGCCTTGCTTGGACTGATACAGGATTTAGGAAACACGTCCGCCTCTTTTCTTAACTTGGAAAAAAAACTTCCAGACAACAACGAGTCCGTGTCGCGGACATTTTTCAGAGATTGTCTCTGCTGCGGCTGCCCAGTGGCACCCGGAAACTTTACAAAAGTTGCGGTAAGCTATATTTTTAACATTTACGTAACATCTGTGCAGCGCTGAAAGCACCAGACAGAATAATTCTTTGCCCTAACAGTAGTTTATGGAAGTAGTCAGAGAAACGAGAGGCACCTGGCTGCCGCTCAGAGAACGCTCCGTGTTCTCACTACTCTGTAAACAATCACAGACAACGTGTCTTAAAGTTGAAAACAGAAGTTTAAGTTAAAACAGAAACACTCTGAAACTTTTCTGATGATTTTCTAAACAATTCTGTCGGGGAGTTATACGTTTCTGAGACGAGTCTCTTCTAAACATCATCGCATGCATTACTATCATTAAGCAGCGAGGTGTGTTGAAGCTGTCATCAGCTAAGGGGCGGATGCTTAAGTGCATCAGGGGCAGCGAGGAACGAGGAAGTTGTGATCAGGCTGGAGATCACACCAGATTTGCTGCTGCAGGCGTGAATCTGCGGGTCTGCAACATCCCCTTCTTAACGTGACGTCAGGACTTCCCATGTAAAGAAGGTCCGCTCACCTGTTCGTCAGATCATTATTTCCTCGCCATGATCTTTTATCATCCCATCATCCTCCAGTCATCCAACTGGAACCAGTTAGTGTTCCTGATCATTCTCAGAATATGTCACGCCTGCTCTGGTGTTAAAAGTTAGTACATTTAAGTCCTAGATCATATTTGTGCCTGTTCTACTGTCATTTTGAAGGATTATTATTTATGTGTTTTTACTACATTATGAGTAGAAATGCTAATAAAAACTCCCAATTATACAAACAAGTGAAACTGGAAAAATAAGAATCTGGTGCAAAGTCAAATTTATTTCAGTCATTCATCTAGACAGAGAGACTATTTAAAGGCTCAGGAACCCTTTGCAGGTGTTTTCTATTTGTAATTATAAATTTTAGTTGATTTGGGTTTTGTTTCATATCACACAGTGACATTTGAATAATTAAAATGCATTTTTTAAAAAAAAAGCTTTAGTTTTACAGTAATAACTATGTCTAATGTTTGATTCTCTGTCTCATAATTTTAATTAAAAGTTTTACTTTGAGAGCACATTTTCCTGAACGATTAAAATGCGATTAATTTAGATTAATTAATTACAAAGCCTGTAATTAATTAGATTAAAAATTGTTATCAAGTCCCAGCCCTAATATTAACATCACATAAGTGGTTGTCTGTCACGTAGTCATTTGGAAACTGATCCATGCCTTTGTTACCTGCAGGCTGGATTATTACAACTCGCTATATGCGGGGCTTAGGCAAGCTCCAATAGCACGCCTCCAGGTGGTTCAGAACTCGGCTGCTTGGTTGTTAACATCTACCAGGAGGTCTGAACATATTACACCAGTCCTACGTGCCTTGCATTGGCTCCCTGTCTCCTATCACATCAGGTTTAAGGTAATCCTGTTTGTGTTTAAGGCGTTAAACTCAGGGGCACCTAAATACCTTTCTGACATCATCCACCGACATGTCCCGGTGCGTTCCCTTAGGTCAGCTGACCAGAGACTATTTAACTGTGCCCAGGTACAGCCTGAAGTCTCGTGGGAGTCGTGCCTTTTCAGTGCTCGGACCAAGTCTTTGGAATGAGCTGCCAGCCGATGTAAAGCAGGCCAAATCACTGGAAACCTTTAAAAGCCGACTAAAAACACATCTGTTCTCGTTGGCGTTTGGACATTGAAGTTGAGAGTGTGGGCAGCATCATTTTGAATGTGTCTGGATCTGATTCTGGAAACAGGACTGATATGGATTGCGAACTTGTACTCGGGATGTCTAATTGTATTTTAAATGGTTAATTGTCTGTTTTATTGTTGTGCTCGTTATTGGTGTACAGCGCTTTGTCCGTTTTGGGCATGTGAAAGCGCTTTATGAATAAAGTTGATTTGATTTGATGACTTGAGTTGTTTTTGTCTCGATAATGTGGACAATATCGTTTATCATCAATAATTTGTTGGACAATATATTGACCAGCAAAATGTATCGTCCCAGGCTTAGTGACTCAAAATCCAGACCCCTGTGGGTTGATAAATCTGATTTCCATTGTATTTAATAAGAATAACTCATTCATTCAGATCTAGGATGTCTTCGTGTTCCTTTATATTTGGAACAGTGGTGTATATATCACAATACAGGGAGGTGATACTAAAAGCGAGGTGATATTTGTAATTTTCAAAACTGAAGTAAATTGGATTGTGAATGTTTTGTTGTGACAGATCCTTTCTAGAGTTTGACTTGACACCGATGAGTGTTTTAATCCTCAGTCAGAGATGAAGTCCTGCAGAATCAAACCTGCCCTTCTCAGCACTGGACTGCTATTTCTTAGTAGTGTATGATGTGAAATCCTCCTGAATGTTACATTTGTGTGTTTTCTCTCAGATCATCGTATGAGGCAGCTCAGGAGTGGGTGCTGCCTGTTCAGTTCTGTCAGCTCCACGGTCTGAAGCTCAGTTCGGTTTATCCCCTCCACTGTGCCAAGGACAGACAGTTAATCTACTTTTTAGTGTTCATTCAGCTTCACAACTTCCCACCTCAGCAGGTGAACACACACACAAGCACACGCTACTATACGTCCAGATTTTGAAGCTCCTGGCAAATATTATTTTCATTTGAAATTATCTCATGATTCCAGAGATAAACACATCTACATTGTTTATTTTCTTGTGTCCATCTTCCTCCTCTGACCTTATTTGATCTTCCTCAGGTGAGCTCCCTTGTGTCTCAGTTTGACCCAACACTACAGACCCACCTGAGCCTCGCGTTTCAGGACCTGCAAGTTCATATTGAAAGAAGAGGTTGTAGTCCTGAAGAGCAGTCTGGGTCGTTGAGAAGGAAAGAGTCCTACAGTAGCCCAGAGCATCCCAGAGAGGTGTTCCAGGTCCTGCTGCAGAGCCAGGTGGAAATGGTGCCATGTAGGTACCTCCTGCATGAGGCTCTGGTTCAACACTGTCCAGTGCTGACGGTGCTGGCTGCCTGTCTGCAGGTACTTCACAGACACAGGATACACAGTTCCTATCTTGGGATTTTCTCTAGAGCCTCACTAAGGTCAACTCAGACTGGCTAAAGTCACTTAAGCCCCATTCCCACCTGTACCGGGTCGGCCCGGGCCGGGTAGCATAGGTTGTTTACATATCTGGGTGGCCTGGAATTTTCCCGGGCCAACCAAGGCTCATTCTCGGCCCTCTTCCCGAGGGGTACTGCTTCAGGCCGACCAGGGCCAACACGCCCACTGCTGACAGCAAATTCACACCTTCCATTAGAGCAAGCCTCTGATTGGTGGGTAGAATCAGCCCATTCACACCTTCCATTAGAGCAAGCCTCTGATTGGTGGGTAGAATCAGCCCACATGGGCTTAAGGCAAGGATGTGTGGAATCAACCGGGCCAGGCTGGGGCCGACTGGGGCTACCCGGCCCAGGCCGACCCGGTACAGGTGGGAATGGGGCTTTAAGTTTCCCACTTCTCCCTCCTACTGGTAGAAAGCAGAATTGCAGCAGTTGTAAACAACTCTGCCGCAGCCTGCTGTGGCTAGAGCTAACAATGAGCTAACGCTAACATGAGCTAACATGGGTTGATGTCATCAGCTGGTTTGGGCTCAGACCGGAAGATATCTTCTGTTTTTGCTGCGCTATTTAAAAAAAACTAGAATTTGCTAAAAAATCAGCCGTGGAAATCCAAAACCTTTTTTCAGCTTAGGTTTTAATACTGTTTTACACGTACCACTCGAAGGAATTTTGCCTCTGGCCATATACTTTACCCTTCCACTGTCCTATCAGGTGACCCCTCCAGGACGTGGGGTGGTTAAACGTGGTTGATAGTTTATCCCTTGGCAAGAGTGAAGTGGCGTGCTCCTAAAAAATAAATAAAAAGGCACCTGGGGCCCATCTGACACCATTAACAATGCGGGAGGGTTCAAGTGTTAAAAACTCTTAGTGTTGATCTAATTAGTTCTTCAGATTTTGAAAGAGGAACTTAATTCTTAGGAAGGCTTTTTCTGATGAAGCTTTGAATGTTTACTTTTACTTCTTAGTATTAAGGACTAGTCCCTCACTTGCTGTGTTGTTACAGTTTCTAGGAGATGCAAATGTTTACATTATTTAGCTCTAAAAACAAAGTTTGGGGGATTTTCGCTGAATATAATAAAACAGACTGAGTCAGAATGAAAGGCCAAAGGTCAACGATTAATTCTGTAATCAGATAAAGAAATCTCCATTGATCACCACCAGTGATGTCTACTGTTTTCTTGGCAGAGAACGGAGCTGCTGCCTTGCCTCTGTGTGTGGGTGCTGACCTCTGTGGACGATGCCACTGCTGATCAAGCTACCTCTCACTTGATTGAAGCTCCGCAGGATCACGAGTGGACCCTGCATGACCTGTCAATCATATGGAGGACACTGCTAGGGCGGGGCCATGTCAGGCCCCTTCTACGTGGCTTTGAGCTCTTCCAGAGGGTAAAAAATATCGGATCTTTACAGGATTACAGTTTATAATGTTACATTAACCAGATTTTAGGAACGTATCCTACATGTTCCAGAAATATTGTCATTATTTGGGGTTCTAGACCTGCATTAAATAGCAATGGCTGTTTTTCTTTGTTTGCCAGGACTGTCCTCTGGTTTTGGTGTTGAGGATGTTTGAGTTGTGTTATGACTACAGGAAATTCACTGAAGCCAAAACAAAGTTGCTGGACTTCCAAAGGACGCTCATTACCGTGAGTTTGTTTTAGTACAAATGTTTAAATCCAGTAGCAAAGAATTGACCTGCCGGAATACCATCTGAAGGATTCTTTTACACTAGAGTGGGCCACTCTGGTGGACGTGAGGATGAATCCTGGCTTCTGAGACCAATGTGTGTATCTTGTAGAGTGATGTCACTGTTATGTCATCAAGGTTACAACCACGGAGTCTGTCAAACATCCTGACCAGGGTCATGGACTGAGCAGCATGAGCAAACATCTAACGAGTGAAGACTGTTCGTTTTTAACGTGAAAATCGTTTTTTCCTCCACTCTAGATAGGATGTTCGCTAGGCTCACCTTAACAACACCTCTATAAGCTGAACAGGTCAGGATCATGTTTTAGGGGTTGAGGCTTGTGGCTTCTCAGTACATTCGAAAAATATCACCATTACAATTTCAGCATTTAAAACCACCAGTAGGATCCCATTAGAGAGCTCTAACAGGGCTCCAGATGTTACGGGTCAAGTCGTTGACTTTCCTGTTTTGGATCAGAGGTGCTGATTGGTGACGAGTATCACAACAGTTATTGAATGATGTTTCTGCAGATGAATTGGTGTTATTCAAGGATGGTTGTTTTATCTGTGCTGTAGCTCAGGAACGGCGGTCCGGTTCCCTGTGGTAGCCTCCCTCTGGCGTGGGTGGAGAGCCAGGCCTCAGTGCTGCTCCTCATAATGCTGCAGCACTGCTCCTCCCAGTACGATCTTCACCACTTGCTACAGCTTCTGGCAGATGTGGACAAACTCCTCAAATCCAATGGTGAGAGGTTAAAGGGGACATATTTTGTGAAACTGTTTTTGCGCACGCTTGTGCTGCCATGTTGGTCTCTACTGCCTCTATAAACACTCCAAACCTGACTACAACGCACTCATCTTTTTTCTGTCAGCGTTTAGTTTGGTCTGAAAACGGCTGATTCTGGGAAGTACCGAAAATGTCAAGAATAAAACTGCGAGATCGCTTTACTAGAGTGATTTTATGTTAAGAACTTCATGAACATGTTTTGTATAGATAGAGCAATTATTACGTAAAGAAATCACAATATTTCCCCTTTAAAGGTGTGGTTGACTGAAAAAACTACTTTTAATGATTATTTGTGATCACTCTGACTTTTTAACGCAGGCTGAACTTGAAAACAGTCTCCCGCACCTATATCCTTCGTTAGCTTCTGATATAAAGTAGACGGTGAAATGCTAGAATTTGAAAATCCTCACGTATCTATGTCGCACTGTGAATTTGCATTCATGGCCACGTCCACTTGGCTTGCGCCCGCCCACAGGAAGTTTTTTTTTTTCAACAAGGAGAGAGCGGAGTGTGTCTTGGGGTGTTTCTCAATGCCAAGGAACCTCGCCTTGATGTCTTGGTCCCGCCCCGGTTGCCTAGGAGATACGTCATCAGGAGCCATCAAGACGTGTTCCAATGTTCATGTTCTACCAAGGCGTGTGTTCTCGTTTGTTAGCCGTTTAGCTAGCTGAGCAAGGATACACGGGAGGTGTCTTGTAGCCTAGCCTTGGTCAAAAATTACCCAGAATATTTTCAAAAGGACGGCGGATCAGAAGCCGGCAGCTACTTCGGGGGCAAAGTTCAAGTTTAAAAGTAAGGCAGCTAATTTAAAATGTTTATTTTTTTTTTTATCCAAAGAAGTTATCTATTGTTGGTTAGTTGCTTAGTAGTTGCAGCTTCGGTGGCTAGCGGGTAGTAGCTCGCTTATATATTTAATTTAATAAACATATACACAATTTAAAAAGTAAAAGCCTTGTTATATATTTATATTGAAACTAATACATATAAAATATAACGTTATCTCCCGTGTCACCTGGCGTTACGTGACCGCTGTGGAAGCCGCGGTCACGTGATGCAAGTCTGTTCCATTTAACCGTTTTTTTTAACAAGGAAGGACAGTGTCCTCGTAAGCAAGGCGCCTTGCCTCGCAAGACATCGCCCCGCAAGACCAGGCGCCTTGACTTTGAGAAACACCCTTGGTGATAGTGACTTTGCAACATGGCTGAACGTGATCCGTTGGCCAATCAGAAGTGAGGTGTGTGCATATCATTGATAGTAGTGAGCAATTCTGTTGTTCTCAGCCCACCTCTGCACCAGCAAACTTTTGCATCTCAGAACAGGAGCATCATAGCTTTTATTTTAATGACTCATAAGGCATTGATTTACACTAGAGGATGCAGCAAATGTATTGGATAAACGAGTAAATCACACCTTTAAAAGCTGTCAGCTGATAAAGGTTCTGAAACTGAAGTGAAATGAAAAGTAATTTTATTGATGAGTTGAATGGGATTTGTTTGAAAATGATTTCTTCTGAGTGAGAAGCTGCAAACGCAGAGCCCTGGGAGGAATCTTTATGCCTGTTCTAGTCTGAACTCAGTCACACCTTCTTGTGTATTTGCATTTGTCGTATGTTTGTGAAGGTCCAGACTTCAAGAAGCTGAGTCAGCTGAGCCAGTTGCTGCAGGGGTCAGGGATCAGTCTGCCCCCCAGGCTGCTCCAGTACAGTTCCACCTCTGTCCAGCAGGAGGAGTTCCAGCTCATAGTGGATGCCCTCCAGACCCGAGGGCTCTACAGCCGTGCTAGGCAGGTGGCCCTGCTGGCTGGTCTGCCTGTCCATCGCCTCCTCCTGAACCAGGTCCGATTCACACACAAGGTTCAGATTCATGTCAGGCTTAGCGGATGCTACCTTTGGTGCAGTCGAGACCGATATGAAGTTCATGTTTAGTGATTCATATAAAACCAAAGGAATAGACGTTTGTAGACTTTACGGAGCCTTTAAAGGGGACATGTTGCACAAAACTCACCTTTTGCATCCTTTTTGCTGCCACATGGGTCTCTACTGCCTCTCTAACAACAACCCTACACTTGTTTTCTAAGCTCCACCCTCCTGTTGCTAAGTCTGACTAGCCTTCCAGCTAACTACTTGTTAAGAATGGGTTTCTTTTTAGCTTTCCCAGGAGGCCATCATCCAGAGGACCAAGCAGCAGTGGAGGCGACTGGACACCAGGGTCACTTTCTGGAAAAAGTGTCACAAGCAGCTGAAAGCTGAAAGCACTGATCCAGAGTCAGTCTCTGGTTTCTTCCTATCACAGTCTGAATCTGTGGCCACCAAGGCACCAACCGGCGAGGAGGCTCAGGCAGAGCTGCTGGACCTCCAGGAGCGCAGTTTGCTACTCCAGCTCACTGCTCACTTCCTGTCTCAGCTCAGCCCCGTTCCTCTGGACAAACTCCAGAGCTTAGAGAAAAGACTGTGGCTCAGTCGAGTCCAAAACCACACCCTTACTGCTACAGTGGCAAAAGATAGTATGTTTAACCTTCCGCCTGCCATCACGTCTGAAACTAACGCATATGAAGTGTTCATGAGGGAGTTTTCCTTCTCTAACATAGCCGACCTGAACACGGACAAAGACCTGAGTCTGGAGGGACTTCCAGGACCCTCAATGGAGCAGGAGACATTGAATGTTGGGCCTAAGTTAAGTCCTGAGGAGAAGGAGGTTCTCTCAGAGCTTGTGAGTCAGTTACTAGACGAAGGCAGCGTCCATGAAGCTAGCCGTGTTAGCCGATACTTCTCCCTGTACCATCCAGATGTGTGGGGGGCTTTGCAATGCCACGCCCTAGCATGTGGGGACCTGAGCCCTGAGGCCCAGGAGAAGACTCCAGAAGCTCCAACAAGAGAAACCATCCCTGCCTGTAAGCTCCCTGCTGCCTTCACGCGAGTTGCTTTCTTTCACTGCTGCTTCATGTCTGTTTTAAATGTTCTCCGTAGCATCGTCACACAGCAGCCTGTCGTCGTTTGTGATGCTGCTCCCCGAAGACACGGTCTCCGCTCAGCTCCAGACATTGGTGGATCAGCGTCAACATGGCAGCAGCTACTGCAAACAAGTGCTTAGCCTTTACCAGCTCTCTAAGGTAAACATCTATGCTCCTAACTAGTTTGCCTTGTCCTACAGCAGAATGCGTTGATGCAATCTATCACAGCTTCTCTTTGACCTTTAGTGGTGGGTCACGTTTTATTTTACATGTCTAATTACCAGCAGCAGGCGCAAACAGTTACTGACAGAAAAAGCGAGGTGTTTGTCACGACTAAAATGTATTAACCTTAACGCGAACCCTTCACAATAAAAGCCCTGGGCTAATTTTCCTGACTCTGAACAAGCCTTTCACAACATTTGAAGCTCATCTAAAGAAGGTTCAGTCTTCTTAGCTAATAAAAACACAGAGCAGCAGCATTAAGCTCCTCCACATGCCTCCTCAGGAGCTGCAGTATACCTTCCACCAGATCTGTAAGGAGGAGCCTGGGAGTGTGCTGGAGAAGCTGCTGCTGCTGGAGCAGCCAGACCGCTTCAGGAAGGCTCAGACCTTCATCCAAGCTCGGGGTCTCTCCTCGGAAGCTGTGGCTAAGCTGGTCTCCACCTCTGTGGTTCGCGCACTGTCAGCCTCCACTCAGGAGCTGCAGCCTGGTGAGGAGAGAGAGGATCAGTGGACTGGTAGTTAGCTGTGCCACTGCTTGTTAAATCAGTGTGTTTGCATCACCAGGAGAGAAGCAGGTTTTCAGGCCATCAGAAGGTCCTGATCCTTGGGTCCAGCTGATCAAACTGTGTGGTGATCCCAACTCGGTGGGACTGAAATTGCTGGAAGACCTCAACGCTGTTCCTCTGTGGGACCTGAACTGCAGTATGACTGACAACACACACACACACACACTCATTAATATACAGGTCCTTTAACAAAAAAATTTGCTTTTGATGAACATTAATTCACATGTTTATCATAAACATATGAATGAATGTTTATCAGTTTATCATAAACATATGATAAACTGATAAACATTAGACTTTCATATATATTAGATTAATTACACACAACTGAAGTAGTTGAAGCCTTTTATTGTTTCTAATATTGATGATTTTGGCATACAGCTCATGAAAACCCAAAATTCCTATCTCAAAAATTAGCATAACATGAAAAGATTATCTAAACGAGCTATTAACCTAATAATCTGAATCAACTAACTCTAAACACCTGCAAAAGATTCCTGAGGCTTTTAAAACCTCCCAGCCTGGTTCTCAAAACCGCAATCATGGGTAAGACTGCCGAACTGACTGCTGTCCAGAAGGCCATCACTGACACCCTCAAGCAAGAGGGTAAGACACAGATAGACATTTCTGAATGAATAGGCTGTTCCCAGAGTGCTGTATCAAGGCACCTCAGTGGGAAGGAAAAAGTGTGACAGAAAACGCTGCACAACGAGAAGAGGTGACTGGACCCTGAGGAAGATTGTGGAGAAGGACCGATTCCAGACCTTGGGGGACCTGCAGAAGCAGTGGACTGAGCCTGGAGTGGAAACATCCAGAGCCACCGTGTACAGGCGTGTGCAGGAAATGGGCTACAGGTGCCACATTCCCCAGGTCAAGCCACTTTTGAACCAGAAACAGCAGCAGAAGCGCCTGACCTGGTCTACAGAGAAGCAGCACTGGACTGTTGCTCAGTGGTCCAAAGTACTTTTTCGGATGAAAGCAAATTTTGCTTGTCATTCGGAAATCAAGGTGCCAGAGTCTGGAGGAAGACTGGGCAGAGGGAAATGCCAAAAAGCCTGAAGTCCAGTGTCAAGTACCCACAGTCAGTGATGGTCTGGGGTGCCATGCCAGCTGCTGGTGTTGGTCCGCTGTGTTTTATCAAGGGCCGGGTCAATGCAGCTAGCTATCAGGAGATTTTGGAGCACTTCATGCTTCCATCTGCTGAAAAGTTTTATGGAGATGAAGATTGCATTTTTCAGCACGACCTGGCACCTGCTCACAGTTCCAAAACCACTGGTAAATGGTTTACTGACCATGGTATTACTGTGCTCAACTGGCCTGCCAACTCTCCTGACCTGAACCCCATAGAGAATCTGTGGGATATTGTGAAGAGAAAGTTGAGAGACGCAAGACGCAACCCTCTGGATGAGCTTAAGGCCGCTATCGAAGCATCCTGGGCCTCCATAACACCTCAGCAGTGCCACAGGCTGATGGCCTCCATGCCACGCCGCATTGAAGCAGTCATTCCTGCAAAAGGATCCCCGACCAAGTATTGAGTGTGTAACTGAACATAATTATTTTTAAGGTTGACCTTTTTTGTATTAAACACACTTTTCTTTTATTGGTCGGATGAAATATGCAAAAAATTTTGAGATAGGAATTTTGGGTTTTTATGCCAAAATCATCAATATTAGAAACAATAAAAGGCTTGAACTACTTCAATTGTGTGTAATGAATCTAATTTATATGAAAGTCTAATGTTTATCAGTACATTACAGAAAATAATGAACTTTATCACAATATGGTAATTTTTTGAAAAGGACCTGTGTAGATTACTTCAGTTAACAGCAGACGTGCTTGTCTCCTTTCTAGTTGTTGAGCTGCTGATTGTGGCTCACAGCTGTTTCAGCCTCACCTGTAACATGGAGGGGATCATCCGGGTGCTGCAAGCTGCTCGCCACCTTAGCCACACCTACCTGGCTCCAGGAGAGCACCACGGCCTGCTGGTAAGCTCCCAGGAAAACTAGCCTGGTTAAAACTATAGATCTTTAGATCAGGTCAACTTTTATTTTAGAACAACAAAAAGTAAATTCTAGATAAAAAGTCACTTGGTTGTCCATCATGGCCTCCTGCAGAGCTCTGATGTTCTCCGTAGACTCCCACAGAAACACAGGTCCCTGACTCCTGTAGACTCTCCCGTGTTAAGGTCAACCAAAAATCTTTAACTGTGTGAGATTTGGTCCTGCATGGTTGTCTATGATCTTCTCTGACCCGTCTTTGATCCAAATCACCAAAGCAAGGATCTTCAGAAGGAGGTGGGGGAGGAATAAACAGGAAGAGAGTCATGCACTCGTCACTGTGGTACCCAGAGCTAGATGCATGGTTTGGTTGGCAAAGTTTGTTCTGAAATAAATAAAAAATGCATAAAAGGGCATTTGGTTGTAAAGTATATTTATATTATTATTATTATTAATATTATTATTACTACTGTAACATTCTACTAATGAGCAATGGAGTCAGCTTTATGGAGCCTGACAGGTTACAGCAGCTGAAGTCATGTGACCAAGAGCAAAAGATGCACACAGAACTAAACATAAGATGTTGTGGTTTACTTTGTTCCTGCTTTGAAGAATATTACAAGATGTTATTAAAACAGTAATAAATGATTTCAGATGAAAATGAGGTAAAACTGTCCTCTGGAGTTGTTTTGAGTTTGTTCTCCGAAGTGTGGTAAAGAAGTTAAAACACTCACCCTGATGAGGTTTTAAAGTATACAAACCCTGGTGTGTGTATGTATGTATATATATATATATATATATATATATATATATATATATACGTGTGTGTGAAAATTGCATAATTTCTAGTGATTAGATCCTAAAACATCTAACAGGCAATATGATGCACGCGTGTGTGTGTGTGTGCAGGTGCGTCTGCTGACGGGCATCGGCAGGTACAATGAAATGACGTACATTTTCGACCTGCTGCATCAGAATCATTGTTTTGAGATGCTACTCAGAAAGAAGGTGGAAATCGAGCGGGGACAGGTTTGACACACAAACACGACATGGGAGATAACTTCCCGTCCTTTCATGTGATGTTGTCTCGTTGGACGTATGTTCCTGAGGAGATACTAAGATCATTTTATTAAAGATTTCTGGATCTTTGACTCCTCTTTAGATCTAAACAAATGTAGTCTTTGATGCTGATCTTCTGCAGAGCTCCAGTCTGAAGACGGCTCTGCTGGACTACATAAAACGCTGCCTCCCTGCTGACAGTGAGAAGCACAACATGGTGGCTCTTTGCTTCAGCATGAGGAGGGAGATCGGAGAAAACCATGAGATAGCAGCCAGAACACAGCTGAAGATGATCGAGTCCCAGCCCTGGGGTAAACTATTTGTTGTTGGTTTTCTGCTTTGGTCCCGTCGCTGGATCTACTGATGTGGACTTTGTTCACTAGTTGTGACTCCTGAGCTGAAGGCTTCACTGGTGAAGGTGCTGGGTCTGCTGAAGGATGCTGCAGAGAGCTTCTCCAAGGTGCCACAGCTACTCTGACCTTTGCTTAGTGATGCTGGCACACAGGAGACGTAATCAGTGTCATCATGTGTGTTTGACCCCAGGACTCATGCATGCGCCAGGCGAGTCGTTGTGTACAGACAGCAAAGCTGGTTACTCTACAGCTCCACCTCCTGGATCGAGGATCAGACCTGCGTATCGTTAACCTGAGACCTGCAGAGATACAGAGCGCTGTCACGGCTCTGCCCAGATGTTACCAGGTCTGTCACACTTGTAGTTCTCTGAAACACCTGTTCTCCAGGTGTTCATATCTCGTAAGGACCTTTACTTTTGCACTGCCAGGAGAGATGTGTCAATGCAGCACTCCTCACATGCACACGATGGCTACTATAGAGAACTCTCTAGTTAAACCATTCAGTGGTAGATCTTTGGTTTGAAAACATGACCTATTCAGAAGTAAGAAGATCGGTGTGACGTCACACCCCTCATGCAAGGGCGTCAGTTTGTTTCCAGAATTGCTGGGGACAATAACCATACACTTGAGTGGGGTTTAAAAATTGCTGGGGACAATAAAGTAGGCTAGCACAGGGGGCGGCAACCCGCGGCTCTGGAGCCGCATGCGGCTCCTCATCCATCTGATGCGGCTCTCTGTGCTTGTAAAATAATGAATGGATATTTAAATAAAATGCTTTATATTTTACTGCATTAATTTTACATCTGTATGCTAATTCTAAATGTAAAGATTGTCTGCGTAAACCTGAACAGTTCCAACCCGGTCTGTGAGACCGGGTTGACGCGTCACGCTTGTGCGTAATCATGTGCTTCTGAGCTGCTTTCTGACCTTCCCCACCTACAAAGTTTAATTACAACAATCAAACGTGACAGAGCCTGGATTTGTATTCTGAACAGTCTAAACATGTTTTAAAAAGAAACGTATGACAAAAATGGCACCTGCTCAGTAAAACCACCAACAGTGTGAATATTGAAGGCAGAGACGGGCTACAGCTTCTGGATCCACTTTATATAAATCGTTTTATTGATTATCTTCTTATGAAAGATAACTTTGACGTACACGAGCGTCCAGGTGCGTTGCAAGCTTTTCAAAAGTGTGGGGGATGTTGTCTGTGCCTAAAATAATTTTATGTTATTCATCTTGTTAGTTTAAATTCCATAATTCCAGGTGCGAATTTTAGACGCGTCACGCATGTCTCCGTTTTAAACATGTTTAAACCGTTCAGAATACAAATCCAGGCTCTGTCTAGTTAGATTGGTGTAACTAAAGTTTGTACTGAATGAAACTTTACATTAAACCATGTTGAAAAGAAAAGGATCCGATTAAATCGTTTTCCCTCATTTACAGTCACGACGTACAGCGCAGTGCGCACGGCTCTGGGGTTAATCAAGTTTAGTTGTTTCTCTTTGCAACAATCTTCACAAGAAGGCAAAAGAGTTAAATGGCAGGTTACAGATATTTCCATTTGACTGTTTATTTTGACGGATAAACTCAAGGATGTTGGTTGTTTTCCTCCCACTGAAGCGGTCTGGAAACCCGGTCTCTCTGAGGGACGTGTCACTTGGAAAATGTTATTTTTATGAAATTATGAAAGTTTGGCTGAATAGCGCTTGTTCCTGTCTCCAATATTGAGACGCATGATGCATCCAGTCGCCTCTTCAGCTCATAAAGCTCCTGTAGAGACATTTGGTCACGCACAAAGTTCATGTGGAGCAGAAGCGGTCGGGCTACGGCAGGTGAAATGTTCCTAGCCTACATGAAGTGAAACTGTTTAATTGTAACATTAATGTGTTACTGGACATGCTGGTCTGGTTGGTTAGACCAGTGTTTGAAGTGGAAAACACACACACACACACACACACACACACCAATTAAAATAATGCTGATAGCGTGGACTAGAAGACAGGTGATGGTTTACGTATTTAAATGATGATCAGGCTGCTGTAAAATGTAATCTCCATCCACATCCAGACACAATTATCCTCTATTCTTTCTCTAGTTGCTCTGCTCTTGTCTGGGCTGACAGCTGACGGTGCGCCTAGTGGCTGTGATGCACATTTTACGCATTTGGAGAGGTGGACCGGATGCTTTGCTTTTTCTGGAAGATGGTCCACTTAACGCACGGGTGTAGACTACATATTAATGACAAATGAATGAAAATTAAATTGTGAGTTTTTACTTCATATTTTAGAAATAAAAATGACGGGGGAACACATTTGACGTCTTTTTAAACGAAATTTTCTAGCGCGACCTGCCTGCTTCACTTGTCTCTGCTTATTAAGGTCCGTCCAAAATGACCGTGGCCCACCCAAAAATGAAAACCTGGCGCTGCGCCTGTTATAAACCTCTGCAGATTGGTGTTCTCCACTTGATCAAACTCAGACTTTGTACAGCTAATGTCAAGATGTAAAATTATGAATTCAGTCAACCTCTTCCGTCCCTCCATCTCCTGCTCTCCTTGAACCCGACATCGGCTGTCAGAATAGAGGAGGTGAAGAAGGAGATGAGGCAAACAGAGCGAGTGCGACCTAAAGAAACCAGACTGGAGTGGAGGTGAGCAAAACAGCTGGAAAAGTGTGGGTGTTGCATCCCCCACGGGTGCGACGCCCATGGTACCGGCTGCTGTCACCTGTTGTGAGCAGCTCTCTGCTGTCTGAGGGTAGGCCCCGCCCACAACGCTGCGCTGCTGTGGTTCCCAGTGTTTTCATTACTGTGGGAAATGGGTAATAATGGCTCTTTGATGGGAACAGGTTGCCGACCCCTGGTATAAGATCTGAGCTGGTAAAACAAAAATCCTCATCAGCAGGCTTTTTTGAAAGTGGGGGGGACACAGCTGCCAATTACAAATTTTGCCGGGGACATGTCCCCGGCGTCCCCAGTTAAAATGACGCCTATGCCCTCACGAGTCTAGGGAGTCTGTACCAAGTAAAAGACCCAATAAACATATTTATAGGAAGTACAAATAACCCCAGTGTGAAACAAGGTGAAGCACCTGAAACAGGTCATATTGTGAAGCGGGTGTCTACGGTCTTAAAGCGCCACGACCGGCCCGCGCGCACCCCCCACCCCCGACGGCCAACCGGGAGGTTTAGGATGGAGCTGAGGAAAATAATCAAATAATCAATGCATGAGATGCGGGCATAAACGGTTTTGTGCCATAATCAGTTATAGCGGAATGTGGTTTTGTTATTTTAACGGTGACACCAGCGTAGCGTCCACATCTGTCAGAGCGGTGTTCTCCACATTTACCAGGTAGGAAACTTTGATCTGCCTTTATGTGGTACTGCAGGCCTGAGCGCTGGAGTTCTAACGCGAGACCGAATCAGCCCGACCGGTTCTGTTGGATTTGGGCTGTAAATTATGTTAAATGAGCGAGTTGTCTCGCGGTGCGCTCCGCTCGCTTAATCAGCGACTGAGAGAGAGGGAGATTGTCTGCTCACACAGGAGAGAGGATCGGAGGATTGCTCCTCCAAACACGAGTTATTATTTTCATAATTTCATTCACTTGTGTGTGGCCCCCGGACCATTATAATTGACGACCCCTGCTGTAGTGGCTTATCTGGTGTTAGTGGTCATGTAACATCTAGTACCAGCCCTCTGTGTTCCTGCTTTCTCAGGTGTTTGTGGTGTCGGAGGCGTATGGCTACAGCCTGGACTGGGCTGACATTTTGTTCCAGAAGGTGGTGCTGAAGGGAGACTTTGTGTACCTGGAGGATCTGAAGCTGCATCGTCCACTCACCTCTGGTCTGTTTGAGGACATTTTCAGAAAGTAAGACATCTTATTAACATGGATGAGTCCATTCATCCGTCACTTCTGTCAACAAATCACCTGAGACTGTTGAGTTGGGTCTTGCCAACCCCATCAGTGTGTGTTGTTTTAGGCTGGACGGAGCTCCCGGCACAAACACCACCAACGTGAAGCGTCTGCTGACTTACTGTGATGACGTCTACACCCGCTACAGACTGGCCTACCAGCAGAAGCTTTATGACATCACTAAGATGCTGCTGCAGGACAACAAAACCTCCAACTACCTGAATGACAAACTGGCCAGACAGTGATGAGCTGCTTAATTTCCATCAGGGACTTCTGTCCACTGGTGGAAATGAACTGGGCTCTACCTTAACCCGCTCAAATTATTCTGGTTAGCATCTTGCAAAAATATTTTTTCACTTGAAATAATAAAATGTAAACTTGTATAAAGTGTAAATCGACTGAGTTCTATAGCTACTTTGACTAAATCAGATCTAAAATATCTGAGATAAATGAGGTTTTAGCTTCATGATAAACATTCTGATGTTGCTACATGAAAAAAGTTCAGAAATGATATTAATGCAATCATTTCTCCCTCTAAACACGTATTCCTACAGCCTACATCTGTCCTGGAAACGACACCACCAGTATACAAACCAGTATACCAGAATTATCTGGATCAATTATTCCACAACAAACAACTAAAAAAAACTCATCAGTACAAATAAAGCAGCAGCGAGGAGAGAACCACCTGAAACACTCGTGAACTTCACCGGAGGCGTCAGATCTTTCAGGCTTGTGAGGAAAACTTTTAATGAACATGGAGGTGTGCACTTCCTGGTGGCTTCAACTCTTACAGTGAACTGCTGTGTCCAGTTTTAGTCAGTGTTTATCTCTGACACACACACTCAAACACACACTTGTGCCAGATCTGTTTGGCCTTCAGAACCATCAGGATGTGGAAAGAGGGTTTTGTTTTGTTCTGACTGTAGTCAGCGCTCCTGTCACCTTACTCAGGGTGTTAGAAAAGGGCCAAACTTTAAACCCCATCAAGTCGTAACGCCACCTTCATCTGCAGCTCTTGTTCCTCATCTGAAATGTTTTAGTCTTCAGAGGAAATGAGCAGCACGTATTCCTGAACAGCTCCAATGAATCATTGTAAAAGTCTGCAGCTCCATCCTCAGTTCTTCAGCAGCTGGTTCAGGATGCTGCTCTGCTTCAAGGCTTGGAGGTTGGAGATGTCCTCAGCAATCACAGGAACATCCTCGCTGTGACTCATCTCATCACTTTCATCTCCATCGGTGTCAGACAGGGCACACAGGAGAGCGTCGTTCTCATATGTAGGAAAATAATACCTGCATGGATCAGAGGTGGACACTGATCTGGGTCTGTGGTGTCATTCCAGAGCGCACGCACACACACACACACACACGCACACACACACAGTGTATCTCAGAGGGACTTACTGGGGCTGGTCCCAGGTGGACATCTCTGGTAGGTTCATCACATGGCCCTTAGACACAATGTGATGCAGCATGTCTGCTCTGGAGCCAAACTTCTCCTGGCAGCCATAGCAGCGGCTCTGGTGGATCTGCCGCCGGATGAAGTTCACCAGCTTGACCTGCTGGTAGAAGCTGAGATCTGAAGGAGAACACATGAGGACTGGGTGAAGGGCGAGTTAGAAGCTTTACTTTCTGCTATCATAACGGTGCAAGGTGGTCCTCAAATGATTTCGTCTGTTCTGATTGTTTCTGTGGAAAAGTTCTTAATTCTTCTACCTGCTGCCTGAGCAGCCTCAGTTCATAGAAATGGAGTTCACACCGTGGTGAGGAAAACTAAGTCACTTACTGTGTTCCGTCTTCAGAAGATGGAGGTCAAATCTGTGAGTGTCCTAGAACAGAACCACACAACAGCCTCAGGGAGGGACCACACGGTCAGACCGGTTTGAGTGAGTGAGGACCCCCTACCTTCATGTGTGTGTAGATCTGATCCATGGTCTCCGACTCATGGTCACAGAAGAGACAGACAACAGAGACAGGGTGAGCCCTCCAGTCGGACCAGTCACTGAGGACAACAGAGAGGAAGAGACGTGAAGATCAGAGGTCTCTGGATGTGTCTGGGTGGCTTTATCTGAACTCAAACATCAAGATGTTCAACTGGAGGTTGGCTGTCAGCTCCTGATGAAGATTCTTACTTCTCATCACCATCATCTAGCAGATCCCGGTCATCTTCACTCTGAACCTCCTCCCAGGTTTTCCCCAGCTCCTGGCAGGAGAACAACCACACTCATCAGAAAAAGCTTTATTGCCAGCGCTCCAGCGAACCAGAGCATAGGAACTTGACTCCGCAGCACAGCCTGACCAAGGTTACACACACACATGTAGACAGAACAGATACAGGCAGACCACGAGAGCAGCCATAACGGCGCTCATTTAGATGAAAAGGGGATTACATGAGGATAAATTGGGGGAGGGGAAAAAAAGGCATACCAGAGTTACTCCCGGCAGGGCGTAGCTTTACTATGCAAAAAAACGCCTCAAACATATAAGCACGAACATCAACAGTTCACAACATGACAGACCGAGAGGAAGGCGGGGGGGGCTGGGATCCTGTTTCCCCAGCGAGAGCAGCCCTGTATGGCGCTCATCCACTGTAGCCACAGGTGGGAGGGAGATCGTGGGAGGAGCGCAGAGCACATTGAATGGAATCGAGCGTATACCCCACCGGGTGTGTCCCTTGCGGGCAAGTGGGAGCCCCCTGCTCCGTTCTCATCGTTGAAAAAATCTTATCAATCGCGTTGAATGACCAATTAATTCAATCCATTTCTAAAAAAAGGGATTTTCAGGAGAAGTGCAGAGAAGCGCTCTGTGGGCAGACAGGACAAAGAGCCTTGGGAAAGAAAGATAAGGGATTAAAAAGGGAAGCGTCTGTACTCTGCGAGTGCCGGAAGAAGAAGCCCTTATTGGACACCTTCAACATAGAATGTCTGAAGGCTCCGCAGTGAAGCACTAACCCACTGAAGCACCACCAAACACCGTGTCCCAGGGGTCAGGACTTGTTTACTGCTGATGGACTGATAAACCTCCAGCAGTCCAATGAAGACAGGGACAGCGTTCATGTCAGGACCTTGGTCCTCTTGGTTCTGCTCCTGCTTAATCAGGCTCAGGGTCATTGAAGGTGCAGCCTATCCCAAAAGACTGGCCAGGAGACTAGAGACCCGGCTGGGATTCAGACCTTCGACCCTAAAGAGCGGTTTTTACTGACCTACATGACCGTGACACTGAGTCATGGAGGCTCTGCTGTTTGTCACATTTGAGGAGGCATGTTTCTGCTTGCTGCAAACTACGAGAAACTGGAAATAAAAACTCATGTTAAATAGCGTCAAGTCCCTCGTCTAAACGGTAAATTATGAGTTGATCGGAACTTTTGCCGCAGTGAGTCACTCTGGGATGTCAGAGGGCAGAATGCTAAGAACACCATGACGCTATGGTTATGCTAATTACTGCGCCTCGCCAAACAACATTTTTAACGGTTGTAACTGATGAGTAATGATGACCGCAGCAAGGAGAAGGTGGAGTTACCAGGTAGTTGATGACGTAGAAGCGGTCGTAGTCGTGGTTGTTGGCGTTGATGCGTCTGTGAGTTTTCTTCCTCATGTGATCCTTCAGCGTGGTTTTATCTCTAAATGTTTTCTCGCAGTACAAACACTGCAGGCTGAAACAGAAACAATGACACATTTTGTGATGCCCTCTTTAACATTTAGATCATTTTTTACAGATTTAAGCCATCAGTTGTTTCATTTGTGTCGCCAGAATGTCTGAAACCTGCATCCGTACTAAAGAAAAGATCTAAAGCTGAAATTAGACCGGTCACTCTGAGGGCAGCACTTCTACCCTCTCTAGACCAGCCTCAGTTAGCATAAGTGTCAGCGACATCTAGTCGAGGAACAGGTGTGAGATCATGTGCACCACACGACAGTAAACCTAATGTGATTTGATTCTCACGAGTCCAGTTTGTTCTGCAGGGTGTCCAGGAACTCATCACAGTACACGATGTTGTCTGGAAGGCCGATGCTGAAGGAATGTTCTCTTGCCATGTGGTTCAGCAAAGATGACCTAAAACCCAGAAAGTCTGTTCAAAATACTCCAAGGTCTTAAGACCCACTGATACCATCATCCATGAGCCTACGTAGTCAAATAAAAAAAGTAGTAATAAAACAGGGTTGTCCCTTTAAAGTGATTTCAAACACCTCTACTAAAGGAAGTCAGATTTGGACAACCTGTTTCCAGTGAACTCCTCGCTGCAGAACATGCAGAGATGATGGAAGCTGCTGTCATCTCTCTCCTTCTGCTGCTGCTCAAGGACCTCCTCCTGTAGAAGACAAATGCTCATCATGGTGGAAACAAAAACCAGAGTAAAGGTACTCTCCACCTGACCAGGTATGACCAGGTACGTACATCCTGCATGTGTGTAATGTGTGATACAGGATCTAACAGAGAGCAGCACTGAAGGCACCACTAGTGGACACTACTTATAGAAGACAGAAGGACAAAGATGCTCCTGGAGTCCGGAGATTAAGTCATGTGACCTGTTCTCCGGAAAGCTGCAGCTCTGAGTGTGTTTATGTGCACAGTTCATTATTCAGTACATGTTAATTGGCTGAGTGGACCAAGACAAGTCTGAACCAGTCTCACCAGTCGTTGCTTCTGGAGTCTCTCTCTAAGGATCCGGTCTTCTGGAAGGATGTCACATAACAGGAAGTAGTCTTCCTGTTTCTCTGTGGGGACAAAGACGTGTCATCAGCTTTGAAGGACCTCCTTTAGACCGTTTCTAGAGGTTGGACTCAGTTTGTGTTCATTTCTGTTGGTATGGGAACTGACCCAGTGGTCCAGTAGAGTTGGTCTTAATCACACTGCAGAACTCTGTGAGCGGCTGCTCCAGGAACCGGCCCTTCCAGTACTGCAGGTACCTGTTGGAAACAATCAGATCAGAACCAGACTTTACATCGGACTTTAGATTGGTCAGTCGGAATGGGTTGGTACTTTGAGAGGTCTGCGATGAGCTGGACATCAGCGATCACCAGCTTGTGATCCAGCACCAGGTGTCTGAGAAGAGTGTCTTTGAGCAGCAGGGGTACGGACTCTGAACAGAACAGACAGACCAGCAGGTCCGAACTGGGCCGCTCCAAACTGGCAGCGCTGGAGCATCCAGCTGGCGGGTCTGGAAAACACAGCGGTTCCAGGATGCTGTCCTCACCTAAGGAAAAGACATGTGGACCTGACGGTTAATACGAACAGCTAGTGACCGTAAACCGGTCCGAACCGCCGCCCACATAGCGGGTGCTCTAAACAAGCCGAATATTCAGAAATGGGTCCAGAAAGTTCTCAATAGGCACTTAAAATATATTTAAAACTCAACATACCATGTTTACTTCGGTCACTGGCGGCCATGTTGTCACGTGGTAAAGTAATGGTCCAATAAGAGCAAAGAGCTGTCCGCGGCGCGTTCATGCTCCTCCGTTAAAACCACAAACTTCACATGGAGCGTTCATGGTGCCAACTCCGTGTTGGTTTCCTCACAAGTTTCTGCTGCTGTTCCAGATGTTCTGCTCCATAAACACTCTGCACCAACAGATGTTCAGGTTTATGAGAATTCTGTTCTGCTTCACACGGACGAGTGTTTTATTAAATCATTTTTAGAAAGGAGTCATCGGGAGCCGGTCTCATACAATTTGTTCAAACAACAGAGCTGAATTTTTTTATTTTTCTTTTGTATTGCTGTGTATTTTAACATTTATATTTCATGTAGCAGCCAAACCATTCACCCAAACGATCAAATCAGAAATATTCAACATGATGTTTTTGCTTTCGATTAGCCCATGCTTCACACGTGAATCTGTAAAATCAGTAGCATAGCCTTAAGGTCTGAAACCATAACCCTAGTTTAGTCATATCAGCGGTATGTTTTTGTTTGTAGGACAGGATTGGGGCGTCTCTGGTGAACAGTGAAGGGCTGATAAGGACGGCGGCTTTAGGACCCGGAAGATCACCCTGTGGGTCAGACACCAAGAGGACGGAAGTTCCGCTGCTGGTAGGTGTGTTAGCTCGGTTCTGTTTCATGCTTTCTTTGAAGCATAAAAAGTTGCTAAGTGGACGGTTGTCTGCGGGAGTAATATTCTGCTATACTTTTTTTCGATTTGCTGGCATTAATCGTTGTTTTCATTCTTACTCTGCTGCTCTCTGTTCACATTTGAAGTCCCTTTTTCCGATTCACTTGCTCTCGAATGGACTCTTCTGCCCTTAAACTAATACAAATGTCCTCAGTCCTTCAGCTTCAGTTCCTTCCCTCTGTGCCCTCCTCTCGCGAATCCTGCCTAAAGTCCCCCAGCCAATAGGAAGCCAGATATGATGCTGACTAATGTTCTTGTCACAACCTTTAACCGACTCCCATCGGTAAAGGTTTAGCGGTGGTGGCAGCATCGTTATGTGGGCGATTTTTCTCAACAGCAGGAACTTGGAGACTAGTCAGGACAGGGGGGAAGATTAATATAGCAATGCACAGAGATGATAACACTAACCCTGGATGAAAACTTGCTCCCGAGTGACCGAGGTGATTGTTCATCTTTCAGTAGGACAATAATCCAAAGCACACAGCCATGGTATCAAGTGTCTTCAGGACAACTCTGTGTAGGACATGGTCCAGCAAGAGCCCAGACTTGAATCTGATTGAACATCTCTGGAGAGATCTTATATAGCTTTCCTCTTTTGTGATGTCACAATCTGAGAAAAAATTTGAAACAGATAATTTAAGTAAATAATTCTTAAAACTAAATAGTGAAAGAAAATGGATAGACATGTTTTTTCATATTTAGAGTAAAACTGAAAATATCCAAAAGGTGGATTTTGCTTTTGTCCTCTTTAAAGTGTTGCCTTTATTCCTTCAGGGCGTTTTCTGATGGCTCAGCAGGTGACGGCGGGCCGGCGCTACCTGCGAGCATTTGTCAGTGGATTCTTCGTTGCCGTTCCTGTCACCGTTACCTTTCTCGATCGACTGGCTTATGTGGCCCGAGTAGAAGGTGCGTCGATGCAGGTAAGACCACACATCTAACAGTTTTCTTCTTATGCCTTCTGTGAACTATGGACTCCACTTCTGGTAATTTTTTTTATCAACAGTAACAAACTTTAGACCTGAAACATGAAACATCACTTTAAGCATGCATGAGCGGTCCTGGCATTTAAAACCACACTGACCTTGTTGTTGTTAAATAATGGCACCTTGGGGTTTTGCATACTGAAAAGCCTGCGTCATCTCCATCCTGCATTCTTGTCTACATTAGTAATGATGAAATGGCCACAGAGAAAAGATTCATGCTGAGAAAAACTAGTTTAACACGTCATAACCTCAGACACACCCCTGTACATTTGCATGTCCCAACCCACTTCAACGCTGGTAATAGCTGTGTTCGAGATACGCCAGTTCTGCGCAGATTCGATCACCGGTGATCGGCGGGCAGTGCATGCCGGTTAGATTTGTGTCCGACTTGACGCCGACTTGCTCTGACGTCATGCATACGTAGGCAACGATAACCTCGTGAGATCAAGGCGGCCGCAGACTTTGGAGCAAGGGGCTGCAGTTGCTCTCCACCGGCTGCAAAACATAGAGGATGACGGGAAACGCCTGGCTCTCACCTGATCTAAGATCTGATTGGTTCATATTTTGATCCAAACATCCGGTGGTAGAACATGAAATGTTAGTCGGTCACATGGTTTTTATATATTGTGTGGTTTCATTTAAAAAGCACTGAAAGGAAGGTTTTGCATTAGAAAATTTCGACTTATGTATATGAAATTTAGCTAATAATATCAATAAATTAATCAAATACAATTCAAACCATACAACATTCTCAAAATTTGAAAGCTGTCAAAACCATAAACTTATGTTCCCTGTTCAATATCATGTGATTCTTTGTTAGACTGTTCTGTTTCCCCATAGAAACCCCCTGACATTGTGCTTGCTATTTCTTTGTAGTTGTATTACGTGCTTTGTCAATAAAGCGTATTCAAGGAGAAAAAAAATGATAGATGGTCACATGTATTCTGTAAATCATGTAACGTTGATGATGACAACAATATAGGCCATAAAGAGAAATGTGTTTTGTGTTCTTTTGTCACGTTTCCTATGAGCACACTAAACCTACAGCTGATAACCTTTACTTATTATTACAGTCAGGTCTCCATATACAATATATGATATCCACAAGCACGTGAGGATGTGTTTCAGCTGCTAACAGGCACCAAAATTAAAATAAATAATTAAACAAGTATGAACTCTAACGGGATATCTTCAGCCATCGTCACCCCCGAGCTACACATGTAGGGAAATCTGTCCGCCGGCTTTCAGCCACTCCCCCTGCTGCGTCCATCTGCTCTCGTTTGTTTTCCAGGCGAGGCGCAGCTCATCTCGAACACGGCCAATGCTAACCGCAGAACAATGCTACTCTGAGCTACTGCTAATGCCAGCCCAAGCTGCTGCTAATGCTAGCCTAAGCTACTGCTAATGCTAAGCTACTGCTAATGCTAGCCCAAGCTACTGCTAATGCTAGCCTAAGCTACTGCTAATGCTAGCCCAAGCTACTGCTAATGCTAGCCTAAGCTACTGCTAATGCCCTTGCTGGATGAGAAGAAAACAAGAAAGATGAATGCTGGATCATAATTCACATTCCAGGATGTACTAGGAATATCCACCATAAGTCAGTGCCAGATACTAGCTTGTCGTCCTAACCCGATGTCCTAACCCTAACCTCCCCGCTGACATCAGCCGGCGGAATATCTGCTGCTACAACATGAATCCTAAAATATAAAAAAAACAACATGGAAAGTTGCCATTTCTTAGCTTTTTTTTTATATATGAGTAGCTAATCTTTATTTCTATCAGTTTGGAAAAGGTAATTGTGACAAAACTTGAAATTCAAAAAATGATTATGCTGGGTCTTTTGGTGTTGTGTAAGAAACAAGTACATGTCTATGAAGTTTATAACAAGTCTTTATGAATTTGTTTTGATTTCTTATTGATTGTGTGTATATATTGGTGCAGCATTGTCTATACTGTTTGTGATTCAGCTTTAATGATGGTATATTTGTGTTTATGGACAGCCATTCCTGAACCCTGAAGGAGAATCAAAGTGTGATGTTGTCCTGCTAAACCGCTGGAGTGTGAGAAATTACCAAGTCCAAAGAGGCGACATCGTCTCTGTGGTGTGAGTAAACAACACACCACGGCGTGAAGTCAAAAGGTGCAGGAAGGCAGATTTAATGTTCATTTAGTCCTGTAAAAAGACAAAAGCAAGATACATCTGAAAATATTTAGCTTTTTTGTAGATTTCTGAAAATCAATCTGTTGGGTGTTGAACTGTAAAATGGGAAAAGTAACTAAGTTGTTTGCCTTCTGTGGTTCCGCTTATAGCATAGGTGTCAAACCAACTCAGGCCCTGGGGCCAAATCTGGTCTGCAGCCTGCGAGATCCTATCAAATGTAAATTCAGTTCCATTCAAGTTTATTTGTGTAGCGCCAAATCATGGCAAGTGTTGTCTCAAGGCACAGTTCAGTTCATTAAAGTGACAGTGTGTATTTTCCCTGGCGATAGGGGGCAGTAGATACCTAAATCACTGCAAGCAAGTATTATTTTTCTGTTCAAATAAGACCTTACCAACGGATGGCCATTAGGGTAAAAAATTCCTAGGAGCGCAACCTCCAGCAAAATAAGATGAGTGATGAGGTAAATGTGTAAAGCAATATTGATTATTAATGGTGAAAGTTTTGTAACCATTTGCTACAAATCAGTAATTGCATTTTGTCCTTCAGACTTCCGTAGAAGGAAACACGGCATCCAATATGGCGTCGCCCAGAAACTTGGGCGACGCCATATTTTATGGTTATATCATATGTTATGAAACTGCCAATATTTTTCAACAACTGGGCATCTTTTAAGTAATTTACTAGGTCCAAACGTTTTTTTGTTGTCCGTGACTTCAAAGGGTGTTTTTCTTTTTGGGACTCTGGTAGTTTGTACTCAAGTTGAAGTGGTAGTAGCCGACTATTTCTCCTTCTCTGATATTATTACAAACCTCTCACGCCAGTGGTGTTCTGTTGCTAAATACGTAAGTGTGTCATGAGTGGAGGACCCAGGGAAGTGCGGAAGTGTGGCGGTTCAGCTAGACCGCAACCGTATGGTCCAATAATTGCTTTCGGTCCGAAACGTACTATTGGCCGAGATTTTTAGACAAATGCGAGAGAACCACTATATTAAAATTTTTATTTCCATTAATATATTTATAGCTATACATGTTAGAACACATATGTCAGACTCAAGGCCCGCGGGCCAGATGCGGCCCGCGGAGCATTTTTATGTGGCCCGCGAGATAAATACCAAAAATATATTAAAACTGGCCGATTTTACTGCAAAGACTTCAACTCCCATGATGCTTTGTGGCGTTAGCGCAGAGCCGACGCGCCCCCTCCTTTGTGTTTTTTCCAGCGTCTGCTGCCGGTGTCTGCAGCTCCGCTGTCTCGGACAAACTACACTCCTCTCACTCAGCGCCAACTTCACTCAGCTATTTTCTGACTTTGAAGCCCAGAAACGGAGACTCTAGCCGCTCAGTAATGTGTTCACGACTGAAAGAGAAAGTTTTCCAACTAACGTCCAGACAGAGCCGATATAACTCCAGCGAACAGCGACACACTCAAACCAGCACGGCTCTGTGGTTGCTGTCGTTGTGTTTCCTCCCCGACACACAACAACGTGGTCAAGCTGCTTAGACATGTTCATCAGCACAAACCTATGTGAGCACCTGTTGTCATCTAATGTTGTCATTATTATGATGAAGATGAACAAAACAACAGGAGTCTCCTCCTCAGCTCAGATCAACCCCATGATGCAGGTATCTGGCTGGAACAGGTGAGCATCACAGTAAACCAGTGGAGCAAACTGAGCTTTAAATATGTTGGGTTTATGCTCTTTTTCTGCTCCAAAACATGAAAGTTAACAGGTGAGATGTTGCATTTTCATTTAAGATAAAATTATATTTTTATTTTGTTGTTGGCCCGTGAGAAAAGATTTAACCTACAGTAAACAGGAAGTGGAAAGGCTGCAGATAGATGAATAGAATAGAAAATCCCTTTATTGTTCCTCAGTGGGGAAAGCTAGACATCACAGCAGCGATGACACTTATTACAGGAGAATAAACAATAAGAAAAATGAATAAACAAGAAAACATAAATCCTGAATAGAGTTTAAAAATGCTGATTATACCACAAGTAATGAATATCACTGATGCCTTTTATTTAAAACTGACTTGCTCGTGTGTAATTTGGTTATTCCACATTCAGTGTTAATGCAGAAATATGTTTGTTTCCAAATTTAAAGGTTCAAAATTGCATAAATGTTGATAAAGAAAATGTGCAAATTTGCCGTCACTTTTTCAAAAAATATTAAGTTTGGCCCTCGACTCCGTCCCAGAGTTTCATTTCGGCCCCGTGTGAGTTTGAGTTTGACACCCCTGTGTTAGAACGTTGTTGAGATATGAAAAAATGTTTTACGCTAATTTATTTTCCAAATTTGCCATTGTAGCTTTAATTAATTTATTTAGCTAAATTATCTACATTTCTGAAAGAGCGTTGCATGCTGGGAAATCCGTTCCACCCAACCAGTTATCCGTGTGCTGAATCATAAACACTAGTGCTTTAGCTAACCTATTGTTAACTTTAGGTTAATAACGTTAACCTAAAGTTAACAATAGATTCAATAAGAGAGTAAAGACAATCGCGTAAGTAAAAATAGTAATTTCTTCTGATCATTTCGTCCCTTCAGGTCCCCCAGAAATCCCAAGCAGAAGATCATCAAGCGTGTTATAGGTCTGGAGGGAGACTTCATCAGGTAGGGAGGTTTTTAAATCCTTTTTGATTGTTCGAAGATGTCCCAGGCACCTGAAAGAAATGCTGTTATATTCACCATTAAATTGATTCAACGTATTAAATAAAGAAGAAACCATATTTTCTATAGCACCTCTGAAGATAAAAATCAGGAGGCGCTTGAAGACTGGAAACACAGTTTTTATTTATTCATTACTTAATTGTTTGCACCTTTTCAGGACTCTAGGCTACAAGAATCGGTTTGTTCGAATTCCCGATGGTCACTTCTGGATCGAGGGGGATCACCATGGACACAGTTTGGACAGCAACAGCTTTGGACCAGTATGTTCACACAATGTCCTTGGCGATGGCTGTTGGTTAGGGGTCAGAAGGTGGTTGGATCCACATGTCAGCATGGCGCTGGGCTCCAGAAAGCAAATTAGGCTGAAAAGGCTAATTAGTAGACATTATGATGTTTAAAGGAGCACATTCACCAGCAAAGTAAGATTAAATCACACTTCCTGGAATTAGCTTGGACTCAGAAAGCACACTGTTTATGTTACAGCCTAAAACCCAAACTGACTTCGGTACTCACAGATTTCTTTGTGTTAATGGACTTGTGTTCCACTTCCATCCAGTCTGGTTAAAGCTATCATCAATTTGTTGCAAAGTTCAGAAACATTTCTGCTGCTTTGAAGGTCCCATTGAGCACAGTGTCTGTTCTAAACTACCAGTGCTCTTCTTAGAGCTGGCCGGCCTTCTAAACTGTGCAATCAGGAGAGAAGGACCTTAAGGAGATGACCAAGAACTCAATGGTCACTCTGTCAGAGCTTCAGCATTCCTCTGAAAAGAACCTTCCAGAGAACCTTACAGGACAACCATCTCTGCAGCAATTAATCAATATGGTGGAGTGGCCAGATGGAAGTCACTCATTAGTAAAAGGCACATGGCAGCCAGCCTGGAGTTTGCCAAATGGGACCTGAAGGACTTTCAGACCATGAGAAACTACATTCCCTGGTCTGGAGAGACAACAGTTGAATCATCAGGTGTGTGTGCCAGGTACTGTTCATCACCAGGCCAATGCCATCCCTACAGTGAAGCATGGTTGTGACAGTATCATACTGTGGGGATGTTTTTCAGCAGACATCCTGGATGAAAACCTGCTCCTTAGCACTCTTGATCGCAGCTGGGGAAAACGGTTCATATTTCTGCAGGACAACAACCGTAAGGACACAGCCATGATATCAAAGAAGTGGCTGCAAAACAACTGTGTGAAAGTCAATGAGTGGCCCAGCCAGATGCCAGACTTGAATCTAATTGAAAATCTCTGTAGAGATCTTAGACTCAGTGCACAGACGTTTTGCATCCAACCTGATAAAGCTTGGAGGTGCTTCAAAGAAGAAAGAACCAAACTGACCATAGATGCGCCCAGCATGTGGTTTCATATTAAAAAGATTTCACACTGTAAATGCTGTCAAAGGTAAACGATAAATGGACTTTCACTTGTGTAGCAGTTATTTAAGTCAGAGAACATCAGCAGTAGGGACAGCAGTAGCCCATTAATCAGAAGGTTGCTGGTTCGATTTCGGCTTTGACCAGAGTGCTGCTGTTGTGTCCTTGGGCAAGACTCTTAACCCACCTTGCCTGCTGGTGGTGGTCGGAGGGACCGGTGGTGCCTGTGTTCGGCAGGCCTTGCCTCTGTCAGTGCGCCCCAGGGCAGCTGTAGCTACATCGTAGCTCATCCCCATCAGGGTGTGAATGGGTGAATGACTGATTGTGTTGTGAAGCCCCTTGGGAGGTTGTAGGACCTTAAGATTTCCTTTTTCCACCTTTGGAATATTGCTAAGATTAGAAGCATCCTTTCCAGGAGTGATGCTGAAAAACTAGTTCATGCATTTATCACATCAAGACTGGATTACTGTAATTCATTACTCTCAGGAAGTCCACAGAATGTAGTTAAAAGTCTTCAGCTTGTCCAAAATGCTGCAGCTAGAATTCTGATGAGAATTAAAAAGAGAGATCATATCTCTCCTGTCTTAGCTTCCCTACATTGGCTACCTGTTAAATTCAGAATAGATTTTAAGATCCTTCTTCTCACATATAAAGCTCTTAATAATCAAGCTCCATCATACATCAGTGATCTGATTGTTCCATACGTTCCTAACCGAGCACTTCGCTCTCAGACTGCAGGTTTACTGATGGTTCCCAGAATGTCTAAAATTAGGATGGGAGTCAGATCTTTTACTTATCAGGCTTCTCTCCTGTGGAACCAGCTCCCAGCTTTAGTCCGTGAGGCAGACACCTTGTCTACTTTTAAGACTAGGCCTAAAACATTTTTATTTGATAGGGCCTATGGTTAAAATCTGATGTTAGCCCAGATCTGGACAAGTGGGGGAGTAGAGGGAGGTGGAGTGTACAGTCGGTAAAGACGGCTCTCCCTTGCCCTGCCTCCAACATGCCTCCATCTAAATAGGATAGATTATCCTGAGTTATCTCTGTAGTTATGCTGCTATAGGCTTAGACTGCTGGAGGATACACTGACCACTTTTCACACTCTACTGCTTTCTTCTACAATCTGTTCTTTAACTGTACTATTTTCTGCAATTTCAGCTGTTTGCTTTAGTTTTTTCTCTAAGTGTTTTTCTCCCCAGAAGAAGCTACAACGACGTTCTGCTGAGCTGTGGTGGCCTCATGGAGGGGGCCATCGTCTAGCACACTGCTGCTAACCACTAAAACATTCTCCCTCTCCTGATAATCACTTTTTGCTTTCCTTGACGTTGGATGTGCTACTACTAGTTTATCCGTTTAATTAATAGATCCACTAGGATAAATACAATAAAGTTTGTCTTTCACCAAATAGAATATTTACTAAGAAATCACAATGTGACCGTAGACACATTGCTTTGTGTGTGTGTGTGTGTGTGTGTGTGTGTGTGTGTGTGTGTGTGTGTGTGTGTGTGTGTGTGTGTGTGTGTGTGTGCGTGTGTGCGTGTGTGCGTGTGTGCGTGCGTGCGTGCGTGCGTGCGTGCGTGCTTTCTGTCTTCTCGATCCCCAGTGAGTCGTGGAGGATGACTGCTTATACTGAGCCAGGATCCTCTGGATGTTTCTTCCTGTTAAACGGGAGTTTTCCTCTCCTCTGTCGCTAAATGCTTGCTTAGTATGAGGATTGCTGTAAAGTCACTGACACTAGTCAGTGACGATACAATTTGCTGGGTTCCTTATATAGGAAACATTTTTTCTGATTGGCTTAATGAACTGACCTGAATTGGAATGTTTATTATGTGAAGTGCCTTGAGACGACTCTTGTCGTGATTTGGCGCTACAGTTGTGGTCAGAAGTTTACATACACTTGTAAAAAATATAATATAATGGCTCTACTGAGTGTCCCGTTATTTCTAAAACTCTGATTTTTCTCTGATAGAGTGATTGGAACAGATACTTCTTTGTCACAAAAAACATTCATGAAGTTTGGTTCTTTAATGTCTTTATTATGGGTTAACAGAGGAAAGTGATCACATTTGCTGGGTCACAAATATACATACAGCAACATGAACTAGCAATTTTGGTGACTTAGAAACGTGTCAGTGAACTGAGCTTCATAGCATGGCCTCTTAACTTCTTGTGAGTGATTATGAGTGACTACAGCGGGTGACTTCTCTTAGGCCAGGTAAATAGGGCTCTGTTAGGTAATTTGATTTTATCCCATATTACCTTAAAGGACGACACACCCGGGGAGAGAGAGAGAGAGTAAACTGATTATTTGTAATGTCCATGCGTGTGGCTCAACCAGGCCCCATTCTGCTCCAGCCTCAGCCTTCTGCTCTTACCAGCTTTGCATACCTGCATTCTCCAATTATCTGTTAGATAATATTTAACCTCCATAACCCTGGAACCTGAAATAAACACACATGACGACAAGGAAGACATTTTACACTGAATTAGCCAAATGGGGGGGGAGATCACCATGACACATAACTCTCTCCAGAGCTAGCTGCCAGGCGACTCCCCCTTCCTCAAGAGTCTTCAGTGGTTTTATTCACCAAATGGATGGGGGGAGAAGGCGGACCTTCTCAAGTTACAGAGTTACAGAGTTCTCTCAATTAACATCTTTGCTCAACCTTTTTATGAACATACCAACACAGAGATTCATGATGTGTAATGGGCATCTTTTAGGTCTCAAAAAGGTACATTTTTATAAAAATACCCAACAGGCTCATTGGATACAAACGCCCACAAACGCTACAATGGGAAAGTCAAAGGAGCTCAGCATGGATCTGAAAAAGCGAATTATTGACTTCAACAAGTCAGGAAAGTCACTTGGGGCCATTTCAAAGCAGCTGCAGGTCCCAAGAGCAACAGTGCAAACAATTGTTTGTAAGTATAAGGTGCATGGCACTGTTTCATCACTGCCAAGATCAGGAAGAAAATGCAAGCTATCACCTGCTGCTGAGAGAAAATTGGTCAGGAGGGTAAAGAGTGAACCAAGAATCACCAAAAAGCAGATCTGCCAAGAATTAGAAGCTGCTGGAACACAGGTGTCATTGTCCACAGTCAAACGTGTTTTGCATCTCCATGGACTGAGAGGCTGCCGTGCAAGAAGGAAGCCCTTGCTCCAAAAGCGGCACCTTAAGGCTCGACTGAAGTTTGCTGCTGATCACATGGACAAAGATAAGACCTTCTGGAGGAAAGTTCTGTGGTCAGATGAAACAAAAATCGAGCTTTTTGGCCACAATGCCCAGCAATATGTTTGCAGGAGAAAAGGTGAGGCCTTTAACCCCAAGAACACCATGCCTACAGTCAAGCATGGTGGTGGGAATATTATGCTGTGGGGCTGTGTTGCTGCCAATGGAACTGGTGCTTTACAGAGAGTAAATGGGATAATGAAGAAGGAGGATTACCATCACATTCTTCAACATAACCTAAAATCATCAGCACGAAGGTTGGGTCTTGGGCGCAGTTGGGTGTTCCAACAGGACAATGACCCCAAACACACATCAAAAGTGGTAAAGGAATGGCTAAATCAGGCTAGAATAAGGGTTTTAGAATGGCCTTCCCAAAGTCCTGACTTAAACCCCATTGAAAACATGTGGACAGTGCTGAAGAAACAAGTCCGTGTCAGAAAGCCATCAAATTTAACTGAACTTCACCAATTCTGTCAAGAGGAGTGGTCAAAGATTCAACCAGAAGCTTGCCAGAAGCTTGTGGATGGCTACCAAAAGCGCCTGATTGAAGTGAAAATGGCTAAGGGACATGTAACCAAATATAAGCACTGCTGTATGTATATTTGTGACCCAGCAAATGTGATCACTTTTCTCTGTTAACCCATAATAAAGACATTAAAGAACCAAACTTCATGAATGTTTTTTGTGACAAAGAAGTATCTGTTCCAATCACTCTATCAGAGAAAAATCAGAGTTTTAGAAATAACGGGACACTCAGTAGAACCATTATATTATATTTTTTACAAGTGTATGTAAACTTCTGACCACAACTGTATATAAATAAAACTGAATTGAATTAAGAAGGGGCTAGACAAATACAGGCTATTTACCAAAGTGCAGTGTCAGTCATTCTGGATGTACTTTATGTTATTGGTATTTGTAGATGTGTTTGTGGGTTTTTGCCCTTTTAATGACCATTGGGGGTCTGTAAGGAGGGGTTTCAGGTCTTTTTTGATAGAATAATCTTTGGTCTTTCATCTGCAGGTCTCCGTAGGACTTCTGCATGGCCGAGCCTCTTACATCATATGGCCACCAAATCGCTGGCAGCGAATCAGGGCGTCCTTGCCTTTGGACAGAGGACCACTGGACAATGAGGAGGATTGAAAAAACACAAAACCAGAACACCTACTCACACAGCAGCTCCTGTTTCCTCTGAGATGTTTCTGAATTTCTAAGAACTGTTTGTGCGTATTTGTGTGATACGACTTAAGCTCGACAGGAAACCAAACCCCAACTTTTTCTATTTATTTGACTTTTATTAACTAAAGACATACTTGAGTTGAATCCCTGATAGAGGATGTCATCAGGCTGCATTAGGACCTCCATGTTCTGGGTTTGGGACACAGTGGACATCTAACAACAGTAGGCTTCTAGTGCGTCCTACAAAACAAACAACCCAGTTCCATTTAAAACTTCATAACTTCTGTTGTTCAACTTGAGAAATGTAACAGATAAGAAGAAACAAAATGCTTCAGTCTTCTGAATAATAAACCTTTTAAAATGTGGATTTCTTCTGGATATTAAATGTATCTGTTTAATTAATCAAATGTGTGTGGATGTGGTGGCCTACACAAAAGCTTTTAAACACTCACAGCTGTCAAACATCAGATAGTGTGTGTTTATCTGGAATGTGTTCAGATCCATTGGTGGCTGGTGAAAAATGTCTGTGGGGTTGATGCATGGGACGCTAAATGTAAATTGTTCGTGCAAAGAGATTTAGTGGACAGTTTTTTTTATACTTGGCTGTGAAAGTGCTAAATTTAAGAGAAGTAGGCTAATATAAAAAAAAAACTTATACTTTGTGTCCCATACTGATGTGTCAAAAGATTTCCCTTCCTAGTCCATCATACGAATTTAAATGAACAGTAGAAAAATGACAGTTCCACACTGTGGAGTCTGATTAGCTGACCTTACTTTAAAAAGCATGTTTGAGTATCATTTGAGTTTAATTCACTTTCACTTTGTTTTGGAATTGAGACTCTGTGTGAAATCGCTGTCTCTGAACTGAATGGGCATGAATGATAATTCAGCCCTGGGATATCTCCATCTGAGAGAGGTTGGGCAGGGTTTCGAAAACCTCTTCTGATTGTAGCTTCAACCTTTTATCAGTTAGTGAGCTGATCGTCTGCAGATATTAAGATGTTGACTTCCTCTATCAGAGAGGATTTCACAGTGTCTCAATCCCAAACAAAGTGAAAGTGAATTAAACTCAGCAAACGAGGTATGTTTTGAGTTCCTCTATTAGCCCCAGAGCATCATTAGCACTTCAGAGGCAAGGCAGCTTTATTTATATAGCACATGTCATACACAGAGGCAATTCAATGTGCAAGAACCTTAAAATCAACATGACAGAAAATACAATTTAAAAATAAAATAAAGTTAAAGGGTGAGCAAATACAGTGCAGAAGGTGCAGCATAAGAACATTTATTCAAAGGCTGATGAAAACATGAAGGTTTACAATTTTAATTTAAACGTTTCTAGAGTTAGGGCACATGAATGAGGTCATGCTAAAGCTGATCCCATCTATGTGCAGCACAGTAGTTGAAAGCAGCTTCACCTTGTTTGGTTCTACCTGAGGGATTGTTTTGTTTTTCTTTAAAAATAATCTCGTTCATTTGGAAAAACAGAGCTTTTTACTTTTTTGAATAGAGGATGCTGATCGTGATTCAAGCAACCTGCAGCATCTGTTCCAGCTCTCACTCCTATAACCACAGTAAAGAGGGTCTGTACAGTACGTTTGTCTTGTTTAAAAACAATTTTTTCTTGCTGATTAGTTTGCTGCTACAAACAACTGCATGTCTCGTTTCAGACAGACATCAAGGAGCTGGAGGCTATATTCTAAGAAGGTGGCCAAAGATGACTTATAGATCCCAGAACTTCAAACCATGATGGTAAACAACGCTTGACCGAGGAGCTCCCGGATGACCGGGCTTATCTCTAAGGGAGAGCCCAGACACCCTGCGGAGAAAACTTATTTTGGCCGCTTGTATTCGCAATCTCGTACTTTTGGTCACCCAAAGCTCGTGACCATAGGTGAGGGTAGGAACGTAGATCAACCGGTAAATCAAGAACTTTGTCTTCTGACTCAGCTCTCTCCTCACCACGACAGATCAGAAAAACGCCCGCATCACTGCAGACAAAGCACCAATCCTGTCGATCTTGCGCTCCAGCTTTCCCTCACTCGTGAACAAGACCGTGAGATACTTAAGCTCCTCCACTTGGGGCAGAACTTCATGACACCGGTCATACAGGGGCCTATCAACCCATATCAGACGGCCTGGTGCCCCATACTCCTGAAGTACACCCCACAGGGCCCCCGAAGGACACGGACAAACACCTTCTCCAAATCCACCAAACACATGTAGACTGGTTAGACACCCTCCAGGACCCCCTAAGGGTATAGGGCTGGTCCAGTGTTCCACGGCCAGGATGAAAACCACAATGCTCCTCCTGAATCTGAGGTTCGACAATCCATCGGATCCTCCTCTCCAGAACCCCCGAACAGACTTTACCAGGGAGGCCCAAGAGTGTGACCCCTCTGTAGTTTGAACACACCCTGTGGTCCCCCTTTTTAAATAGGGGGACCACCACCCCGGTCTGCCAGTCCAGTGGAACTGCCACTGATGTCCATGCAATATTGCAGACCCGCGTTAGCCAACACAGCCCAACGACATCCAGAGCCTTAAGGAACTCTGAGCGGATCTCATCCACCCCCGGAGCCTTGCCACTAAGGAATTTTTTGACAACCTCAGTGACCTCAGCACCAGAGATTGGAGAATCCAACCCAAAGTCCCCAGGTTCTAAAAGTTTTTTTTAGTAGGTGCAAAATCAAATATATATACAACACACTAATGTTTCGATGCAATGTGTGTCTTGGTTAGAGTTACATCAGTGTAGCTAGTCTCATCAGTTATAAACAGGTGTTGGCGATCAGGTGTATGAAGTCTGAAATCCATTGGCTCACTTCATAGTAGGCGGAGCTTGCCTCTACGTTACAAATGTCCAGCCACAATGAATAGAAAAACAGTGTGATGATACTGTACATATAACAAGTTTTAAAAAATCTAATAGTTTGTAGCTGGAAATAATTGATGAAATAGAAATATAATTTAAACAGTGTGCAAGATACCTTTATATACAAAATAATTTCCCAAATTAATGAGAAATGCACAGGGATTATATCTTATATTTACCATAACAGGATACAGTAGGTAGCAATCTAAATGAAGCAGGGAAGATTTAATTCTTCATTGATTTCTCATGGTTGAAGAGTATTAATAGTGTATCCAGAAGGCCTCTCTTTTTAAAAGTAGATTAATAAGATTCCCTCCTCTAGAGAGAGCTGAGATCTTTTTGATACCACAACACTTCAGTTACTCCCGAAATATGTTTGGGAAGACGCACGTTGTGTTGAATTGTTAGTGTATAGTATATCTTTTTGATTTTGCACTAGGGCTGGGCGATATGGCCTAAAATCATGATATACTGAGAATTTTACCTCGATGACGATAAATGGACGATAACTACAGGTATGCGCAGAAACAACAGTTGTCCACTAGATGGGGCTGTCACGTATATAACGTTGAGTCACATTTTTAAGTCACTCAAAGTGGTACAGCTTCTTAAAGGGACATGAACTTTACCAATATACACACATCTTTTTTTTAATAACATTTTTTGAAATGGGGAATTTTATCTCGATAAGAATCAGAAATTTTGATAACGATAAATTTTGGATGTATTGCCCAGCCCTATTTTGCATCTATTAAAAAAAACTTTTATTCGCCTGAGTGCTCCAGCTCCTCAGATCATCGATTGTCCTCCAGCTGTCCTGAGCACCGGTGTGGCGATGAGCACCGTACTCAACCGACCTCAAAATGATGTTCGTCTGATTATCTGCTTTTGCTTTTGTGTTTACTAAATACAACACAGGTAAAACGCATTACGTTGGAATCAAATCATAATAAAACAATCTGTTGTCATCTTTTTTTCTTTTTTAGAGCACTGTGAATTGGCGCTGCAATGTGGACATCCCATTCTTTATATTTTAGACTGAATCTGCACGACCGTGTCTGTGTTTACATGTGAGATTTACCACACGTGTGTACGTGTTTTTACCCACTTATCAGCCTCAAGGTGCATCTGCTCTCTCGCCTACTCAGCTCCATGCAGCGGTCAAAATCATCGTCCATGAATTCCCAAAGAGTCGCCTTAACTGGCTACTGAAACACACAAAAATGCTAATCAGCGTAACAGTCAGGGAGAAAACACGTTTCATCTGAACCGTAATTACACAGTTCTAGGTTCGTAACTCTGAGACATGAAACAAAAGTCAGAAGATCAGCAGCATCTTCTGAGACTCAGATCAGCTCCTCTTGACCAGCAGAAGAACATGGTGTTTCTTTACCTCGACCTTTACCTTTGCTCTGAACTTCAGATGCTAATGAATTCTTTTATATTTTATTGACAGTTTGTTAAAAGTAACCACTTTATATATATATATAAATATATATATATATATATATATATATATATATATATATATTAGTGGTGTGCATCTCATACATCTCTACCTGCCTCGCGATTCGATCCGATTCCGATTCCGATTATCTGCCTAAAGATTCGATTTGAGTTTGAAATGCATCAAGATTCTTCACACAATAATTTTCATTACTTAATAAAAGCAGTAGAATAGTTTTCAATTTCTTTTTTATTTCGATATCCCTGAAAAACACAACATACATCTATTTACTATTAGGGATGGGTACCTTTGACATTTGAATCGATCCGGTACTAATTCCCGGTACCTACGAATCGATACCGGTACTTAACGGCACCAATTTTTGATACTTTTGAGTGTTTAATATTTTAATTCTCTTTTATAATTAAATATATAGTTTTCTCAATATATAACCATATTTGATAAATATCACGATAAATAACATTCAACTGTTTGTATTTTAACATCGTCCTTGTTATAAGCTGATAATTAAACTGAAGCAAACATCTTTACTGTGAACTAAATTTACTGTGTATCTTCATTCCTTTTGCCGTCTTTTTTATTTGATTTTTCCTACTGGGAAGATAGAATTTCCGAGGAGAAAGCGAACGCACCATTAGCTGATAACAACGATGGCAATGGAAGCTAACATGTCAAGCTAACGTTATCTTAAACAGTTTATTTAGCTGCTGGAGCAGATTAAAACGATGATGCCTCACACTTAGATCGTTGTCGCTGGTTTCATCTTCACCCAGTCACCCGTCGCATTTAGTAAAGTGAAGCCAAACTTTAGACCGCGTTCATGTTCTTCTAGTCGGAAATTTGGAGTTCCGAGGAGAAAATGAACGCACCAGTAGCGAAATGGAAGCTAACATATCAAGCTAACATTATCTTAAACATTTTATTTACCTGCCAGAGCAGATTAAGATGAGGATGTCTCACATTGTCGCTGGTTTCATCATCACCCAGTTACCCATCACATTTAGTGAAGTAGACCCAAGCTT